ATGCCATTTCAGCTCACTAAGAGGTTCTGAAAGTGCTCTTACAGTGACATATCTGTACCAGAGTAACTGAAATCAGACTGATGTGAGACGGGTGATTAAAACTTCCAAGAGTTTTTAGAGATCTCATGGCATCACTATGCAAAAGAGCCTCATTTCCTTTCCTTGAAAGTGTTTGCATTCCTGTCACTGATCCCCCTATAGATATCACAGCAATACTTTATCCAAAGTTGCTTGATCTAGGCTTTACTGAGTGACAGGTTTTGCTTGTCAGTGTGACAATATCAATATTTCTCAAGAAAGGACTTTGAGGATTACTAAAGATGTAAATACATCTTTCATTGCCTGCTTCAGCTTATGAAGTATCTGTTGGCCTGCAGTTTTCTCTCTGAAATCTTCCTCATCTTCTTCATAATTCAGACACTGTTTCTCAATCAGTTTCAGTGAAAAAAAATCTGCTCCTGAACTCATTTTCTTTGGATATCCCTCAAGTTCACCTGCAAACCAGTGGTAGCAATCCAAGGAGGCCCTTCCCCAAGGTACTCTCAGGAGGGCTCCATCTTCATGAAAATTAGAGCAACACAAGCACCCTCCTGGGCTTTTTGATTCAGTGCAATGGTTCTAGTTTCTTACCCAAACCTATCCAACTGTCTGTATTCAATGGCAGCTTGCAGTGACAAGTGGGGCAGTTGAAAGAAAAAGTTTTCCCAGTTACATAAACGGAAGGCAGAATGTGATGTACACGTGACACAAGCCTTCCTGTAACATGTAAAAATGCCTTCAAGCTTGTAAAATAAAACAACTGTAAGAATGTTTCATCAACAGGGAAGCCAATCAGGATATCTGGAACAAAGGAAAGAAATTTCTCCTGCCCTGAGATTAGTACTCCGAATACCAATCAGGTAATACAGATCTTGTTATTTATCGTTAAGACCAGAGCTGGGCAGATTAACAAGATGGTAAGAATTGTCACTGGCCCTTCACCTCAGGAGGCCTCATTCCCCTTCAGCCTGTACAATGTCCTCTTAAAGACTAAGATCCTGTGTGCCCTCGCAGCTGATTCCACACCCACAAATTCTGGGCACTCATGTTAAATAAAAGTTTCCATTCAGACAAGCCTTGGACACGAGGTTTCTGTAGGCTTTGGCCAAAGTCAAATGAGAAGCCTTATTCTAATTTCCATTCTCAAACTGATGGCTCTTTTCCAAGATCAAAGTATTTTCCCACACAGAGCCCATGCCTGTCATCCAAATTCAATCAGCACTTTACCTACGTAAGGATTGCACAACAGCTTTGCTGGCAATATTATTAATAAAATGGTGAAGTTACTGACTTATAATGTCCTCACAGACCAGTCATTACAGTATTGGCATTGCCATTGTGTTACTTTTTTGTGTGGTAATTAACCGGCTTTTGCAAAATTATTTCATCAAATCTTCAACAATTTCCAGAGGAAAATCAGAATTAACACCCTGCTACAGCAGGAAATAAATCAGTGCAGAGGAAAGTTAAATACCTCACACAAGGTTAGATGCTACTGCAGTTGAAATTACAGCTCAGTTATCTGAAATCCTGATCTCTGCCCTGCTCACTGATAAGCTCTGCTTGGAGAAAAAGCCAGGAGCTGGCTGCATGTGCAGGAATCACCAACAGGTGCTCTCCTCACACTGGAACCACATCCCATCCAGGCATCCACACAGCACTGCAGGACCTGCTCCTACCCCATGGCTTTTGCTCAGCATGGAGAGCAAATGTCTTCACCTTTCTTCCAGCACAGCTTGCAGGAAGTAAACCTTAAGCTGAATGCAGGGTAAACACCCACAAGTACTAACAATCTTTAAAACAAGACAAATATTTACCTGTAACACACTGCAGATCACCTTATTTTAAACCTCAAGCTTGACAATAATTTCAACTGTACATAGTTAATGGCTACTATCAGCAGCCATTAATCATTTAAATGATTTCTGCCCTAAGAGGGAATCACAACATTCTGTCAATACACACTTTAGAATCAACTGCAGGCTCCTCATAGTACATCACGTTTTTCTTGTGATAACAGAGCTTATGTTTAACCACAGATGTCATTCCATACAGGACCATAAATTGTTTTAGCAAAACAGCATTTAACTTTTTCTGATCTCACTAGCTACAAAACATGAGCTGCAGTTCAAGTCATGTCAGATTGGTTAAGGATGCTCATTAAGTGTGTTTAATGTTGTCACATAGTTATTAATAAAGCTGTAGCATTCAGTTTGAAAAGGTTTTTGGGCTAAATGACTTTTGTTTTTTTTCTGTTTTCCCCCAGTGCCTTAACATTACGTGGCTGGGACCTCCATGACCATAACTCCTAGTAAGTAGTAGTAATGGACAGATGAACAAAAGGATAATTGCATTATAAACTGAAAATAGAATCAATTTATTGAACAGAAGCCTTGATGACTATTACAGGATTAGATTTGCATGATTAATTCCACATGCACACAGCAGCCACATGCCTTCCTCACTGACAGATATCACCAGTGTGAGGAAGTTTGCTTTATCTGTCTCTGCTCAAAGGTAAACCCCAGCATGGCCACAGCACACAAATGTTATTTGCATTATAGCAGAATTCAGTAACTCAGACTTGGGTGAAAAGGATACTGGCTGTGGGACTCCATTTCTTGGGTGAAAGAGTCCCTGTCTCCACGAGTAGCTGAGCAGCAGCATCACTGTTCCACCAAGTCAGCCACAGTCATACCTGTAAATTGGACTACACCACCCAGGAGCCCTTGGTACCATGAATGACCTGCCCTCTTGTCACTTGCAGGAGCTTGCACTGGCAGTCTTAAGACCAGATTATATTGAAAAACTACATATTTTTACACTTTATACAGGCCACTTGTGGTACTTCAATCACCTGAAGACAAAACTGATTCTTCTTCTCCCCAATAATCTCTACTGCCATCTCCATTTTCAAGTTGTCACAGTGTTTTTAGGGCATGGTCTGCTCTGCATTGTGGGAAACCACAGATCTTGAAGGCCACCATAATACCTTCCACAAGGGCAGAATCTTCTGATGCTTAAATGAATCATCTAGATATTAAAAAGGTACTATTTTTTTTTCCCCCCAAGTTATAGTGCCAAAAAAACCACGGAAATATTTGTATTCTCCAGAACATTTTACCTGCCTAGATTGGCTCTTGATAATCCAATTCACTATTGCATAACCAATTCATAAGCCTGTTAACTACAGTCCTGACAGAGATAACAACAAATGATTGCTTATAAATCCTTTGCTACACTGTTTCTTCTAAAGCCTCTGGTCTGTACTATGTTCTTAATAAAATCATAGTACAGCAATGGTATGATGAAATAAAGATCACCTGTGCATCTGTTTTTAATAGTCTAAATTAGCTTAACTGTGTAATAATTTATTTGAAAACTACTGGCACCAAAGGCAAATCCAAGTCATATGTAGGTTTAATAAAAAAAAAAATTTGATTCAGTAATCTCTTGTAAGCCCCAAGGCACTTTCCCAAGTACTACTCAGGTAGAGTTTACTGGAAATTTTGCCAGAGCTGTGCAAGCCATTGGAACAGACAGAAGGATGGACACCACACAGTGAGCACCTGCTCCCCACAGCCCACAGGGAACAGCAAACATCCAATTTTTCAGCTGCAGCAGATACTCTCTGCTTCCCTTTGCACGCAGCAATGATGACCCCTAATGGTGGAATGTTTCTCCTGCTGAGCAATATGAAGAGAATTTGCTTTTCAATGCATATTTCTACTTAAAATATTTACAACTTCCCCTCCCAGCAGCAGCAGAGTAAGCTGCTTGAGATTCACCTGAACTGTAACACAGAAGTGGCTGCTTTGCCTGATCAATTCTTTCTGACTTTGGACACGGAAACATTAAAATACAAATCCATATTCCAGATCTAAGTCCAGAATTTAAAGTAACCCTTTTTTCCTGAGGGAGACTGTCTTACAGAAGCAAGTTGTAGTTACAGTGCTGTGAATAATCCCTGCAGAAGTCTTCAGGAAAGAGGATGTTCCTTTTTCCCTCAGAACCAATCACCTGTATGCGAGCAAGCAAACAGCACATGCCCAAACAGCTTCTTTGAAGCCCTCCTTCAGCTGCTGGATAATGCACATGTGTGTGGCAGCACATTTGATACCCAGCAATCATTTCATCAGAATCAAATAAAAGTAATTTTATTATTGCTAAAGTTATAAAACTGCATGCTATTCTAGCATTAAGTCAACATTTTATGGGCATATAGTGTTAAGTTGTCTGACAGTATGGAATTATTAAAATTTGTCTGGTTGTTTTTTAAATTCAAGTACATCTCAAAGCCTTTAACTCCTACTGGAAATAGAAGGTAATTTTAAACTGTGTTAAAATGCCAGCTACATAAAACAAAGTCTTGCTTTTCTCTTGGGAGAGACGAGTATCACTACCTGTCCCATTTTAGCTTGCCTGACACTTGCATCAAGAGCAAGATAAAGAAAAAGGTAACTATTACCCAGGCCTGACCTAATTGTGTCAGTTTTTTCCAGATAGAGATAAACACACAGCACTTAAAAGGGAAGTGTTGAGAGCCCCTGGCAGCTTACTGATTTGTTTACTTTCTTTTAACAACATTATAACACTGAATTTGTGCTAGCTTTCAGTCTACAAAGCACAAAGCCTTCACCTTTAACAAAACACAAACCTAGAGATATTTCCAGAATTCTCAAGAAAAAGCACATTTTCAAACCATGATCTCTTTTTTTATGGTAATAGTAGTTAAAGTCACACAAGTACCTACTAGGAAAAAATATATGAAGACATGCTTCAGAATTGTGTGTTGACTCAATTGATGGTTTTGTTTGGACAGTGAGGTATGCAGAATCAGGGCTTTGTTAAGTTAGAGTCTAATCACTGAACTTTTCATTACCTTTATGACAGGTTTGTTTGGGTTTTTTTCTCCTTCCTGAAGAGTAAATTACTGCAAATACTTCAGTGTCCTGGCTTACCTTTCTCACATCTGAGCTCTTTGGTTCTGTAGTCCAAGTTATAATTCTAGATACAGCAAGTCTTGTCTCACTGGAGTTCACAAAGTCTGTTGGATCCATCTGTCTTGCCAAGGACTCAATATACTTCAGGATAGCAACTTTGACCTGAGAAATGAAAAGGGATTTGTGAAGCTCAGGAGTTGGCAAAGATGAATTTTTTCCATAGGAACAGATCCCACTACAGATTCACAAGACTTACATCACATGGTTGGGAGCAAGTGTTCCTGGGAAGTGTCTCCAAGTTGCCAATACTATTTCTATATCATGCACATAATATAATAATTACCTTCTCATGAGTTCTATGCTTTATGGTATGCCTGACATGACAAGCTAAGACAAGCCATGTTGATGCCTTAGTGAAATGGCTTTTAATACTGACCTTCAGGTTTGGTGTCTGGGTCTGATCTACAATAAACCTCATCAAAATGTTAAACTGCTGATCAAATGGAAAAGAATCCCTGTCCAAAGGAAACAAAAACAAAAATAAATTAACTCAATACCTCAAAGCTTACATAACAGATTTCAACACACTTTTTTTCTGGGTAACTTTACCATCAATAAGAGAAACTCTAAGCTTAAGGATTAGCTAGTTACTGACACAAGACTGGAGAAAACTGCTAAATCAGTATCTGTACACACTGTTACTCTGTCTGTACACTTCTTCTGCCATGCCTATCCATTTCATTTCAGACTCTGCTTTGTTCCCTTATCTCTAGAAGCAGCTTAGTTTATCTTGTCCTTAGGGCTCATACCTGGTTTTGATCTCTCTCCTCTTTTTCCCCCCTCTATTTTCTCCTAGATTATTACTATTTTTATTTTCTTTTTAAATTATCCTGTTTCTAGAATGAGCTGAACTTTATTGTAATAGTGTCCTGCACTGGACATCCTTTGAAAAGGACATGAAGTACAGAATTGGTGTGAGCACTGCAGTAGTATTCAAGGTCTTACCCTGACCTGACTGTTATTAGTGTTTGAACAACATGAAAGAGGTGCTGATCTTTGTGGTAAAGCATCTTTCATGTTCTGAATACTGCATTTTTTTTAATGTCAATCAAAAAATGGTATCTGAGCACACACCCCACAAACCCCTAAAATCAACCAGTTATATCTTTTTTAATTTATGCTTTAAAGTTATTTACTTATAAGAGAGACCCCTTTAATTCAATACTTGAAATACTGTGACATAATTTCGTTCTCCTATATTCATCAAGATTGAACCCTCAAAATACACAGCACTGCATGATTTCTAAAATCATGCCTTCCTGTAATCCTGAAAAAATCTCCACAACATTTGCCATCTGAGTACTCTACCTGGTGACATCCAAAGCTTTTTGAACTTTTGCCTGCACAGACCCCAACAAATCTGCTCCCATTTTCTTTAGCAACTGGGTCAGGAGAACAAAAAGCCAATCCTGCAAGTCATCTTTATGAATGATGATGAAATCAACCAGGGTTTCCAGGAACATGCTGAAGACCTATAAACAAAAAAAGTCTCAGAAAAAGAAATACAGTTCTTAAAATAAAAATATTCAAAGGGGAAGGGGGTTTACAGTCTGAGTTTCAGGATGATTTTGTTATAAAAGTTTCATGAATTAATGATTTTAGTGACTACATTGTTCTGGAAAAAAAATCAGACAAGACATGTCTAAAATGTGTTGTATTAAAATACCACATGTAACGAATGAAGGAAAGGGATAGAAAACACTTACTCTCTGTTGTGAATTCCACGGCAAAGCAGGCCATGCAACAAAACAAACCACTCGTTAGCACACAGAGTGATCAAGGATGCAGTTTCTCAACAGATAAAAGACACATTCATTCAAAGTTTACATTTTCTTAAAACACAATCTCTTCTCAGCAGAATTGCTTAAAAAATTATATGCCTTGTATCTCCTCAGCCAAGTAGTTTATATGTCTATATACAATTATAAGAACAAAGCTATGTGTGTTTAACACCACAACTAATGAGTTTGCATCAGTAATTCTACAAAAGCAGTGAAGATGACAGATCAGTGCTGCCACAAAGGATATACTTGAGCCCAGTATGCAATAAATTTCCACCTTATTCAGAAACTGGAAATATTTTGCAAACAAATAATTACACCTCCATCCTTTATACTACACATACCTTGGGGAACCAAAGCATTAAGAACTTACAGGTAGGTACTACAAGCTTGATGAGGCCTGTGGGACAGCTGGTCCACCGTATAGTTAAGGCTAAAAATGCACATTTTGAGCAAGACCTATGACAGGCTACTCTGCCTGCCCATGGTATTTCCACCCAACAATCATTTATTAAAACTGGTTTACCAAGAGGCCTTGAAGTACAAATGTTTATACAATTTATTCTTTCTCAAACTGCATTTAACCCAACAGCTGATAGTTTTACACAGCCATTACTGGTTTTCCTAAACTAGCAAAACTCAGAAACAAGCATGAAATTCCCTATTCCTGTTTCCCTGCTTTCCCATAGAAATCCACTAGTTCTGAACATGCCTATGGGCCCTACCTCCCCATTCTGAGGCTCGCTTCTTAAGAAATGTCTTTATATTTATGCCACAGCCTTTAACTTCAAAGGTCAGTGTTTTAAAGAAGGCAAAGTAGCTATATTAAAGACCTAGATTATGAGATTCAGAATAGTATCTTGGTGAGACAGCTGCTCCCAGGTGTACACAATACACAAACCCAGTGGCTGTGATGCTCATGACCATTCATGGACCACCTGTGTATCACCAAAAATACACCCTAGAGGAGTGCAAATCAAAGTGAACTTCTGGCTCCAGGAGGTGACCTCTGAAAGGCATTAGGCAGGTTACTCAGGAAGCATGGAGTAACCAGTTCCTAGTGACGTAAGAGAGACTGAGACACATCCCCTCCTTGTAAAATAAATGAAAACCAAAGAGGTTTTTAAATGCCAGTTTTCCCCGGCAGATGGCAGCGGCAGAAATACAAACCACTCATCTTGGAACAGAGTCAAATGTGCACACACAGTAACGCAGGAGAGCGAGCCAAGGCTTTGTGATCTTACCTTGCTGTGAGGGTCAGCAAACATGCGAGTAAATATTTCACACAGCCTTTTTAACTCCACTCGGCTAAAATACATAAATAAAACACGATATTAATGCCAAAGTTTTAGTTGCAGGAAGAAAAAAAAAAAAGGAAAAAAGATCAGCTAATAAACATTAACAGCTGAAAGCTCTAACCTTCTATATTTAAATGTTACTTCAGCCACACTTCTGAAAACTCTGTTTATCTAGACAAAGCATTTAATGGAACTCCAGTTTAACTGCTGGGATCACCAGTTTTACATTAAGAATCTAATCAACATTTATTTTTTTAAATCTTAAACCAGACAATAGCATTTTCTGCTGCTTTTATTTTCTTCTATATTTTGGATTCCAGAAAACAACTTGAAATGTGCACAGTTAGGAGGCACTTAGTTTCAGTCTGGGTCAAGGTCACTGAATCACACTTTTTTTCCCCACCTTTTTACGTCTTCTTTGTGTCAAGGATTTCAAAATTTCAAGTAAAATCAAAATTTTCTGGTTATATACTAATCAAATCTTTTGGTTTAAATTCCCAGTTGCTTCAGTAGTATCAGTCTAGAATGAGATTATTAACACATCAGAACTGACTCCAAAGTCTGACAGCAGACAGGCACACTGAGAAGCCAAACATATAGAAATGGAAGAGACATTAACAAATGGTAACCTATTAAATCAGAAGATAATTACGTCAAGGAACAATCTAAGTTCCTATTAGTAAGAGATTATTTGGTGCTCAGTAGTGCTCTTTTTACGGCAGGGGGAAAGAAGAATGATGCATGAGATACTGAGTTGGAGTCAAATGCAAAACTCTCTGGTGCCAAAGCTCTCATCTGCAAAGTATTGAGATGTCTTAGCTTTCCTGCAAGGCAAACTGGCAAAAAATACAGAAGCACTTCTTGTTTATGGTGCAAACAAAAACAGAGCAAGACAGTTAAGTTACATTTCCTGCACACTATGGATGCAAACAGACATTTTTCACACTTACAATAAAACCAGAGCAACTAGTGAAATGAACACTGACTGCTCAGAGAAGTGTTATGAAGATTTTGACTATAGGGAATGTATTTCCAGACCAACATTAATTCTACAATCCACCAACTTCTCTCTTTCTAAAAATAATCTTCAAACAGGCCAGAATAAGGCAGTACTCTACATATGTTAGATTGTTTCTAAGTAATACAGGACTTTTTTTTTTTTTTAATAAATCTATGCATGAAAGGCTCCTTAAATTTTAAAAGGGCACAAAACCAATGGGTTTAAGAGTCTCGTAGGGAGGGAAAAGTCTTTGTAACAACAGCACAGTAAGATGTCAGCTTAATTCAGGGTGAGGCTGCACAGGTTCAAAATGACTACAACACTCTCCTGACATGCAGACTGCAGCTGTCTGAATGAACCCCTGTTTATTACGCTAATGAATTTTCTTTCTGGACAAAGGTTATATAAAGTCAGCACATATATGTGTGTCTGTTTCTGAAAGCTCACAGACCCAGGGTAACAATGCAAGTAGTAAAATGCAATAGGCAGTGGAAGAACATTTCCTTAAGGGACTTGTTTGCCCTGTTTTATTTAGAAGACCTTATGGGGAGCCCTTAAAAAAGTAGGCCACATGAAGCTGTATGAAACAAGGAGGATGGGTAAGTGCCATTCCACTTTGCATGCAGGTCTCTGGATATGCAAATCCCAGCTAACAGAGGATCAGCCATCTTTCAGTTCAGAGTACTAAGAAAACTCAGCCATACCACTGCCTCTTATTAACATGTCACACCACAACAGAAGGTATAAGGTTTTATTAAAAGACAGACTTGCCCCTTGGACTAATGACCTTGATGATGTTCTCAAGATGCCGTGGGAACAAGCAGGATGATAAAATCTAATCACTAAAAAGCTAAACAGGCACCAGATCAACTCTGAACCAAGGAGGAAACAGATCAAAAGAACGCCAAAATGAAATACTGAGAACTAAACACAGTATCAAATTAAAAAAAATAACTGCACAGAGGTATAGTTTCTGGGACAGATTTAAAAATTATTCAGGATCAAAGCTAAGACAACTTGCTAGCTTGAGGGACTGGTGACAGCACAGTTCAAACACTACAACCTGCAGGGTTGAAATCAAGAGTTTAATTCCACCAGTATTTCTGCTAAGATGTACTGACCTGGACAAACAGCCCATCACCAAAACTTCTCAACACTTCCCCCCTTGCAACTATCCCCAGCAGCACTCCAAATCTTGCTTATAATCCTCACACACTTCTGCGGCAAAATCAAAACCTCACTCAGCTTTTTCATAAAAGTAATGAGGTGCCACAGTTTTTCCAGACAGTTTGTTAAAGAGAGACAAAAAAGACAGCATACATGGTGGAAATATCTTTTAGGAGACTCAGAAACATACCACATCAAAAAGCATCTCTGATCTAGAGACTCTAAATACCCATTTAAAAACCTGTAGCACTTCCCATTTAAGGCCTGTATCACATCATGTGAAATGCTAGAGTGTTTTTATGATGGCAATAATGTAGCACTTCCCATTTAAGGCCTGTATCACATCATGTGAAATGCTAGAGTGTTTTTATGATGGCAATAATAAAAGGCCTTCAGGCCTGCTCTCAGTACACTTTCATTCAGACTGTTAACATAAACCATCAGATTATTTTCAGCCAGTGTGAAGTCCTTTTAAAACAGAAACAATTGCACAAACCCAAGTAGGGAGGCTCTAAACAACGACTTATAAACTTGGAAAAATAGAATTTTCAGAGCTGTTTGTGAATGTTACCTTCAAAGGAGCCAAGAGATAAACAAAGTGTATCAAACACTTTCTCCATAAACTAAAGGTGAAATGTCTATGGCCTGAGAGCCAGTTGTCTAGTTAGCATGACCTGTGGCCATAAGGAGTTTCCACATGACTACTGGATAATTCTGAGACCTACTGGATAATTCTAAAGCCTCTTTTAAGGTGTGATGTGCCAAAAGCATTTGAAGGGGTGTTGTGGTTCTCAGCAAGAGAAAAAGGCCTTCCTCTCCTATCATATGCAGTTCCAGAGCTGGTACACATATTTCATTGCCCTAAGAAACTTCCCTCTACATTACACACTACACCATTTATAGGACACAAGTTTCTGATATAGTATTTTTCAAGAGTTACAAACAGGATCTATAATTACACCTAACAGAGCCTTCATAAAGAGTTGAAGTACAGCCAACACCAGCACTGTCTGATCTCAGCTTTGAAACACACACCTCGAGTCATTTTAGAGTAAGTGCAATGTTTGCTTCACCAAGTAAATTGTCATGGGAAAAAATATTGGAAGTTCAAACAGACTAATGTAAAAACGGCACCACCCCTTGAGTATATTTACAACAGCACCACTGTGGGAAATCTCACTGTGCTGCACCAAGCACCTGCCACTGGAGGTCTTCTTGAAATGGATGAAGGCTAAGAGAAGACAGCATGCTTACCTGAGTCCTTTCTACATTACTACCACAAATCGTACTGATACCACAGCAGAAACCTTTCCAAAAGTTAACTGAAATCCCACATTGTGAAGACAAAGCCTTCACAGCCATGGAAGACACTACCTGTCTCCATAAGGCAGGTACATAATACTGCCTTCTGGCTCTAGCCATCCCTAATGAAATATTTACACCAGAAAACTATGAAGTCACCTCAGTGTCCGCTGGCTTTTCAGTAAATTCTGAAGACCTATGAGCCCTTCTTTCCTTTCAGACCAGTTGGAGCTGGCACAGTGGTTCAGGACCTCAGCCACATCTTCAGTTTGCCTCAGGTAGTGTGGAATGCCCCCGTTCCTGGAGCCATAGGAGCGCTCCGAGCAGGCGCTGGATGCATCGCTGTTGGCATCGTCATCAGAGTACATCCCATAGGGCTCGTATCTTCTTCTCACCGGCTTTTTCTGGAAAAGGGGAAACTTGGACTTAAGTTATATACAGTTATATCTATGACAAAAGAAAAACATTCTATTTGCAATCACTACAAGGAAGATTAGTGCTACTTGTTATAGTGACTCAAGTGTTTTAAAGATGTCACCATGCATTGCCTGATTACCTCTCAGAGCAGAGCAAGACAGACCCTACTGATTTCAATGAGACTGAGTGACTTGGGAAGAGGGCCTGCCTTCCCCAGCATGAAAATGATGTATTTATGCCCAGTAGAATAAAGCTACCAGTAATGAAATTAAATACAATAAATGTTCTATTGGCAATAATGGTCAGTTATATTGCTACAGATACTATGATGATACAATCTCTACTTTAAAAAAAAAATAAAGATAAGGAAGAAATAGCTGAAAGAATCTGTGCTGGCATGCCCAGTCACTTTGATACTGATACTGAAGTGACTCTAGAAATGCACTGGATATAGGAGATGGCAATTTCTCTGTTAGTTTGGCTGGAATTCTTTCCAGAGGCTGCTAAGGGAGTTGAGTACTCAAATCCCACTCATTTCTATAGCATGGCATTAGAGGACCTAATTCCCTTAGATACATCTTTGACAGCCTTGATCCTTACAGAAAGAATAGTAGCATAACTATGGCAGCAAAATAAACCTCTTAAATAAACCTTAAAAGAACAGGGTTGACAAGATAATGTATCAAAAAAAGATAATCTATATTCTAAAGTGTTTGCTACAGAATTCCTTCCAGTGTCCAGTCCTGCAGGTCTTGGACTTGTGAAGCCAGCAGAGTTTTCCTTCCACTAGGACTGGAAGATTGAAGCATAGAAATTAACTCACGTGCAGTACCATGGGCTTTAGCAACAGGGTGGGGAAGAGTGGGAAAGTAGAAATAAAAAGTCAAGAAAGCACTAGTACCTTGCTCCTGGAGTCTCCTAACAGCTGTAGGCAGGAAAATATTGAAGGGTGGGAAAAAGCATAGAGAATTATGTCAGAAGCTTATGTAGGGTTTGTTTTTGCAACAAAAACGTATAGCAAATGTGTCTTAGCAAATAAAAAAAATATACAGTTTTTGCAAAATAAAGGTGGGTATAATAATGCCTGACTTTAACTCCTAACCATTGCACTACTCATGGTGGCTACAGTTTCCCCTAGGGAACTTGGAAATGAGATTATCTGTTAAAAACTTTTTTAGGAACAGATCTATATTCAGCACCTCTTCGCTTACTTTTCAGAAACGTGCAATGAAAGATACCAGAGATTTCACTAGTGATTTCTCTTTCCCCACATACTACTAGCAGCATTTCATTTCAGAGTCTTGCAAAGAAATTCTGATGTGAGGAAGCCACTATCTACAGTACAGCACATTTAATCAACTTCACTTGACAAGTTCTCTTTCAACCCACAGTTCTTACACACTGTTTTGAAGATCAACTTCTTCTAAGACCCCCTGGTTAACAGCGAAGTTTCCACCACCCTTTGAGCTCTTCTGACAGACTTAAGCACTGATTCCCATAGACACTGTGGGTTTAGGCCAAGTCCAGCTCAAGCAGAAGCAGTGAATCCAACTGGAATTGTACAGAGGGAATAGAGGTCACAGAATGACCCACCGTGTTTTGTTTCAATTGAGGATTTGGCTGAAGCCATCTTTGGAGAAGCCCTTTTCATTTCTTACTACATGGAAAAGACAACTCTCTGAAAACAAGGTTACCGGGTAAAAGCTGGCATTGTAACACTCTCTCAAAAGGAGCCTGCACAGGCTTTGTAAACTGCCTGTTGTCAGAAGGCAACTAAGAGAAAACTGGTGTGCTGGGAAAGAAGGGATCAACAAGATTGTGTTGCATCTCTTGAAGCCGTTAGAAATTCAGATTGATCAACCAAGTCAGCAGCACCAGCTAGTTTCCAGCTAGACTTAAGTATTTCCCTTTCAAGTGTTCAACCCTTCAAAATTTTACATTTCAATGTTACTTAACTTCAAAGCTGTAATATTTAAAAGAGTACTCTGTAAATCTAGCTGAAGATTAAGTCACACCCAAAGAAATCTCAGGGCTCAGCAGTCAGTTGAAACACTGACACTCTCCTCCCTTAAGAAACCTGTATTCAGCAGCTGCTCACATGCAGGGATAAAGCCTGATTTCGTTTACACAGGCAAACCATTGTCTGTAATTATGTCCTGTACTGCTCTGGTAGCAAATTTGAGGTGCTGAGAGCAGAAATTGGCTCACAAGCTGTTACATTTGGTAATGAAAATGCCCACTAGTGATTCAGCACATTAAATTCAGCAGTGCCATCCATTATATGTACACTGCTCTATCTTTCTTTGTTCACAAATAGTTTCTTTGTTTTGAAAGGTAAATTTTGTAAAAAGGACCATTTTTCTAGAAGTCCTGAAATAGGTGTCATGAGCTGGGTGATAATCAGACATAAAAAGGAAAATGTTAACCATCCTTGGGGAAAGTGAACTAGGAAATGGACAAAGGCCAGCTACCACAAACACTGGCAACATGGTTCATCTTCCTTAAAGGGCATCTGAGACAGATTCTGAAAGATCTGTCCCTGGATATATCAGGAAATCCTTGCCTCATTCAGGTCTAGAGCTGGAAAAGTCCCACGGGTACCCAGCTAGCACTACACAATAATTTCTCCAGCCTCTACACATCCTATCTCCCCCAAATATTCGAGGTACATACAAAGGATTATCATGTGCCTTCTTGAAAAGCAGAAGACATTTTCTGGGTTCTATCTAAAAGATACCACAGTACAATAAGATTATACAGGACAGTAACTTTTTTCTTTTTTTAAATGACAAAAAATTTACTAGGAAAAGCAGTGAATGCTTGAATGTATTAGCAGCAAACTAGACAAAAACAATTCAACTTGCACCATAACTGCATGAGATGGTACAGATTCCATACAAGCCAAGTTATGAGCTCTCTGACTATCTACCCAGGTGCAAATAAAACAGGGCAGAAACTTGTTCTTGCTGAAACCTAATCAGGAATTGACACTAACAGAGAACACTGTTTTTCTGACAAAATCTTTATGCAGGTAATAGGACTGATGGAAATCTCCAACCCCACGAGTGCCGAGCACTGTGCTGGGCACCCCATGAGAGCCAAGTGAAAGGCAAACAGCTGATTGAACCCATCCTGCAGCTGTAGCACCAAGCCACAGCACTCTGACAACAGATGTGGAGAACTGACATGGAATAAGGAAAAACATACTGCTGCCAGTGTACCCAAAGTCAAAACAGCAAAAGGTAACTCTACAGCATCAGACACTGGCACAACCAGAATAAAGCTATTTAGAAAGACGAGAACATACGTACAGGTAACTTTAAGCCACTTTCCGGTGTTGGAAGCATTTTGTATTTTTCCTCTTACCAGTGCATCGGCCACAGCAGCCTCCAGATCTGTGCTGGTGCTCAGGACTCGCATGGCATTCACAGAAGCAGGCATCCTGCCTGGCTGTCCGAGTCCAAACCGGTCTGCACAAAAGACAACAGTGAAAGGGATTGTTAAATGAATTCACATTCATTTGGAATCCTAATCAGGTGCCTGAGTAGTTCTCCCCATGGACTCTGGGAACTCACAGTGCTTTTCCATTAAACGCCCTTTTACCCAGAGCTCCAGAGAGTCTGCCATTAGGGTAAGAAATAAACTATTGTTTGTTGGGTGTTAGAAGTAATTTTGGATCCTCAGGGCAACTTTTCATTTATTTATTTTAAGCTGGGAAGCAGGCTATCTACTTTCTTTTTACTCAGTTGTCTCAAAGGCTTATTTTAATGTCAGAGGCAGACATGCCCATCCCAATCTGGCACCCTCAGAAATCAAGAGAGCTTCTCATTAACTTCAGAGAGACAGAACCATGCCCAGTGTCAGAACATGTAAATACTCGAGCACTCATCTATCCTGCAGCCTTTTCTCTCAGGCAAGGATGTGAGACTAGCAGCACCAGATTAGTCTATTTTATGTCTCAAGGCTTGATTAACCAGTAGAATATAACCCTACACCTTCACAGTATAAAAATTAAGTTAATAATTCACTTGTGAAGTGACTCCAATTTCTGGTTCTCTTGAGAAGTAGTCTAAATTCCAGAGCTCTATATCAAAACTGGTTTTAAGCAGACATTATCATCTTTTATCCCTTTGAATTTGATGGCAAAGCTCGCAGTGGCATCCAAAGCAATGGCATTTAGTCTAAAATGCCCTTTAGATTCCTAGTATTAATTAGTTCCCTTTATCATTTGTCCAGTCTACCAAAAAAGTGACTGAAACTAGTTTCTTTAGCAAAGCCAAATTCAGAAAGGTCCACTAGCAGAGCTATGACAGAAACATAACTTAAGTATCACAGGCCAGGTTGTGGCAGCTGAGTCCTTCTAGAGGGGGGCAGATCAGGTACCAGATACTGGGAGCCTGGCTCTGGTCCATAAACAGAAAGATTGGTTATGACATTCCAAGTCTTTCAGTGTGGGCTTGTGTTTGCTCATGGAGGACTTCAAATATCCCTCCTGGAACATATGTTACACCTCTGTTCTTGTACCCACACATGCCAACAGGAGTTTTGCCAGCAAATTCAGTGGTGCATAGATCAAGCTGCATGAACCCATTTAAGAGACCTTTAGCTGATCCACAAGAGGGGTCAAGTCACACAGGTCTTTTAATAGTTCATCTATATTTATTTAACAGTGGAAAAATGCTACTTATCAAATAACTGAACCATATAGTGGATTTGCTCAAAGTTGAGGCCAAACATAGTATTCAGCAGCTTAATCTGCTTTTGGGGAAAATACTGCGTATCACAAAATTTCATTGTGTTCTTCTTTATGGAAGCTACTGCACTGAAATATCTTTTAGGGATTAGCTCGCACTGACATGCATAATTTAAATCAGAGATTGAAGTTGGCCAGTTCTACTGTCCTAATTACAAAGCTTTATTTGAGATTAAGCTACTGCAGGGAAACAGGGAAGATTTTTTAAAACCAAACTATTTTGAAAAGAAAAAAGCCCCCTCCAGACTAATATTTATTTCAAACATAACTGGTATCTATCAAAATTTACTGTTTCTTAAAGTTACATACTCAGACAAGACATTTCTGATTTACAACAAAAGCACATTTTCTACAAAACACATTACAAGGGGAAAAAAATAAACAAACTTCTTAGAACTACTGCCAAAAAGTAATCAAATCATGACATTTCACAAAGAAATAAAAGCTGTATGTGTTATTACTATCCCCTTTTTTAATGCATTTAGGCTGAAGAATCACTTCAAATATGAAGATGGAATAGTTCTTTATTCCTAAAAGGGAAAAATCTCTGCACTCTTAACAGAAGAACAGAGATGATAATGAAGTAGGTCTGACTGAAACTAAAGTCACCACCTACAGAGATATATACACTATAAAGCTGTTCAGAAGACAAGTTCCTAAGTGTAAATGAGATCTGGTACAGTACAAGGGCTGTAAATGTTGAGGTAAGTTCTGGTTTTATCTTTAAAACCAACTCAATTACTTTAATCAAGTGTTACTGAGATCAGAAATTGGCTTTAACTTTTGAAACTAGCATGAAAATACCACTGACATTTGTTTTTGAATCAATTTAGTAGTACATTAGAAAAGGGAAGATAGTTGTATTGGGGTTTTTTTTTAAATGAAGAACAAAATGACAAAGTAATTCAGTTGTCGATATCAGTTTAAATACCCAGCATAAAGAAACAAAATTGAGCTTTTTTAACACATTAAATATAGTGTGGCATGCTGGCTATCTCCATAGCTATCAGGAATCTTCTGAACTACTTTGTTCAGTGATTTTTAGATTTGCAACACCCAAGTTACTCTGGGCTTCTCCCCAAGACACTGTTGCCATACTTGAATGGTGAAATAAGACCATAGGAGAGACCTCAATGTATCTCTGGTGTGGGGCTGGGAACACACCTGGCTCCAGGAATAATCAGTACAGCCAAGCCCAGTGTTACTGGGCTAGAAATCTGCAGATTATGCTCTGGCCACATTCCCTTGTCTCCCTGGCTAGACTCGTTCATTATACTTGTCACAAACTTGGTGAAAATTTGCAACCACCATTATTAATCCTGTTTTGCCATTTTTCAGAAGATTTTGGCCTTCTGTAGTACACAGCTAACCACACAAAATTTGATTATGCTGTGTATCAAACTACAGAAGCCAAACATGAAGTGACTATCACAGGAAGCCAAAAGCAAACAAAGCTAAAATCTGTATTACAACTGAGCTATTTTAAATATTTTAAATTATTTTGGTTAAATACAAATTCAAATTGTTATTTGAAAAATGCCAGTCAAATCAACTTGCATCATTTCTGTTGAGTAACATGGTAAGGGAAATGTTTTGAGACTTTTAAGTGATAGCCATTTAGCTAGACTCATGAGAAAGAGTGTTTTTCACTCCCTATTTGAAGGGTGTTAACTAACTTCCAGTAGAACAAAGTCCTTATATGATTTTAGCCTCCAAGAAAACACTGAAGCCCTCATCTTCTACATTCTCTTTGTCCCCACAGTTAAGTCTCTGTTGTCTCAAGGCTAACACACCTCATTCAATTCTTTTTAAGATTCCAAGTAAAATATCCTCATTTCAAAAGGAATTATGTGTTCTCCATAACTGCAAATCCAGTACAGGGGTGGGACAGAAGCAACTGGAATCCGTAGATTTTTCTCATTACACGTAACCATCAGTCACCTTATGCAAAGCCCAGTGAAATTGAGGGATTTTTTTTTTCTCTCAAAAACTTCCATGTACTTTGGACAAGGCCTTCAGAATTACATGAAGGATGGATCAGCATGTTTTATGCTCCAAAGTTCATTTTGAAAGCTCATCAGGTGCTTATTTTTTGCTACTTTTGTGTATTCTGGAGGGGATTCCACTTTCATTAACAGAGAAAGGAGTCCAGAATATTTAGTAATAAATGGGATGAAACCCTTCAGGACCCTGTCCTAGGCACTGGAAAGTGCTACACTGCTAAAGACTGAACAGAATTTGCAAGTACTCTGCATCAGTCATGATTTAGCCCATGCTGCACAACTGATCCAATTTAGAGGAGAATTGAGAAAGCCCTGGATCACCCTTTGTTCAAACACTGTTCACAATGTTCCTAAAATACACAAAATTAAAAACATTCAATAAATGAAACTCAAAACAAAAAGCCACGTTGAACAAAACCAGAACAGAAAGCCCCGCAGTGGTGAGAAGCACATGCCAAGTGCTGGTTGATGCACACGATGGCAAATGTTAAGATGGTATAAAACAAGACTACGTATAAGAAGCGGATTCATGCAGTTAGCGCTTGTTCACCTGACTGCCCAACAGAATCAGCAGTGGAGAGAGCACTAGTGGACCTGGAATGACGTCGAGAAGCTGCAAGTAGAAGGAATGGCAACACCCACAGGATTAACACACATTGAACCCGAGACAGAAAATGCCACAATCCAAAGGGGATGCGTGTGACCGCTACCGGCAGAGGTGTTTCATAGTGACAGGGAATGGCGCTGTATGTGGATGCGCAACAGGTACGGTGCAAGCCCCACAGCGACGCCTCCGCCTGTAGCTTCCCCCCTTCCCCTCGTGACCATTAACACGATGCATGACAAAACTCATTTGGAACAGTCCCAAACCAGGTGCAGCTCAGCAAAAACACCCCGATGCACATCAGTCACGTTCCAGACCTGCAGGTCTGGCAGGCGGCCGTCACGAGAACGTGGAGCACGTAACTACAGAGAAGGGTTTAGATGTGTCTGATCTAAACCCCAAAGTGAAGCCATGAGGAATGGTTACGAACTGTGCTTGCAGGTATTTTTCCACAATATTTTAGCCTATGCATAATAAAACCAATGTTAACAAAGAGAAAGCGTAACCACAGGAGTAGAAAGAGTCATACAGGGAGGTCACCAACCACTGTAAAGGTCCTCAGGTTGGTATCTTTTCCAGGTGAACACATGTACACACATACTCAGATGTTGCTACTTCCAAAGGTCTCTTGCTTTTAACAAATTCTGCATACATGTTTCTTGAACCTCAGTATGTACATGCAGAGCTAAGGAGAATATGCACATCACACACCCATCTAGAATGACACATGTATACAAATTGTTAAAAGCAATGGAGCGCACACAGTAGCAGAGGAGCCTAAGCCAAATATAGCTCACACTTCAATTCCCAGTTGTTAGCAGCACATCAATCACAAAATGCCTTTGGAGAGATTTTCAGTTCTTGGATTCAGCATACAAGTGAGTTCTTTATGAAATCAAATGAAAAATGGGCCCAGTCATTCCCAAATTACAGAAATTTTGTCTTTCTAAAAGAAGTTTTCCCTATGTCTAGCAATGACATGCTCACCAGCTCAAAGCAACTGACCCAAGAAACCGATTGTTCATTTAAGCAATTCATCACCACAGACTCACTGAAGGCCTTGTTGCTTTAACATCATAACTAGTACTGTCAAGAAACTGAAAAAATAAAGCAAAATCACCTTACAATACAAATAGGCTTTGTCAATTATGCACCTAAGTGTGCAGCAGAAAAATTCTAAGCTTTCTGTTTAAGGCAAAGCATTCATAAACACAAATACTAACATAATGAAATACGAATCAGCAATGTGAGAAAAATAAAGTCTTTGGGTTTTTTTGACTTGAGAGCTTCACTATAATATGCAGTGTGGCCTTTGGCCATGGAGAACACATGCATTTATTCAAGAGAACAATTCCAGTGACATTGTGAGTAAACTCATGAAAGATTTGCATGATCAGTGCAGGATTATGGAGTGAACCTCACAATTAAGGTTTGTAGGTCACAATTGCTTTCCCCCAAGCCATCCACTGTGCCCCTGTGGACACCACTGCAAGATCAAGGCCCAGGGAGAAACAAGAATAACAAAAATATTTTAAAAACCCACATCTCTGCAAGGAGGCTGAGTACAGATTCACTCTTGACTGTTCTTACTAACTTAGGAAGTGGGACTCATGATATACAGACATGCATACCTGCATTGCAGCCCCAAAACAAGCTGCAAAACAATAGGATGTCAGTGCTGACGCTGACCATAATACCATTAAATGCCAGAATCTTGTAATTTACATTTAGTTACTCTAATTCACAAATATACAAGTTAATCTTTATAAGCAAAACCAGACCATGCACAGCAGGATTATATTACCTTTGTATTATTGCAAGATTAACTGGGTTCTAAAAATACTGTAAGAGAGCCACATTATTTTGCCTTGAACTGACATACATAAAATTCTCTGAGATTAATTACATACCACGTAATTAACCAGTTCATGAACATGTTTGATCTTAAAGCATTTCAATGAAAATACAAGAAAAAGGTAATGGGGTAACAACTACATTGGGTTACTGTTGTTACATTGATATTCCCTCCCCATGTAACCTTTATGACCTAATAACAATGTATTTCTAGAAATGCATTACCCTTCAGGTAATTAAAAATAATGAGCTAAAATGAGATTACTCTTTCCTCACAATTTCCTCACAATGAAACAGTATAATGCACATCTGTAACTGAGACTGTATAGTTGGTGTAAGTCAGACTCAGCACTGGTGGAAGTGTTCAAAGATCACACCAACCATGGTTCTGATGCACTGCATTTGCTTTTCAGAACCAAGGTTCAAGACAGTACTTCAATTACTGTATTTTCAATAAAATAAACAAAACACAGCACAGTGACATAGAACACTGACGAGTTAACACTGAAATTCAGCCTACTTATACATTTTGGCTGGAGAAAAAAAAAAGCTTTATCCAAAATTGAAGCAGGTTAACTATAGGCATATAGGTTAACTATAGTTACCTAGGCAGGTTAACTATAAAAATAAGCTACAGTTGTGGATCTACTGTCTTTTTCTAGATCTGGTATGAAATCAGCTTCATTTAATCAATAAAATGTTCATATCTTAAAGAGCTATGAACCAAGTTATGAATCAAAGCTGAACTCTTTCCATTTTTCACCAGAAGTTGAGATATTAATGTAAACAGATTATTTTACAGCTCAATATAATGAAGTCATTGAACCCAAAAGCTTCTCCAATATTAAAACTTGTGCTATGTTCCATTTACACACTACATCATATAACTGTATTTTGTCACTATGTGCAAAATAGGTACTATAACACCATTCTTCATTGAATTACTACATAAATGAAGAGGGCTTGGAGATCAACTGTATTTCAGGTCTGAGATGACAGGTTTTGATACAAGAAATAATGTATTTGGTTGAATATATGGTATGGTATTTGATCAGAAACATTAAATATCTTGCTGTATTCAGCATTGTGCAGAAAAACTTCTGCATATGGTAAGTGCAATGAGATTTTCTATTTGTACTGTACACTTTAATTGCAGTTTAATGATGCTCCTTTAAAATCGCAGTCTTTCCTTGGTTTTAGTCTGCCTGACAGTTTCCTACAAAACAGCATGTGCAACTTAACTGGTGACTGACTGTCCTGTAAAACCTCTGCAAAAAGAATTGCTATCTCCACTTGAGGATTCAGGATAGAAATTATATACTGTAACTGTACCTAGCCGTAAGAAAACTGAATCATGAATAATTGAGTCACTCAACAACGGGCTACAATGCTACAGAACTACTTGACTGTGACCTAGAAAATCCAGGCTTGCCCTCCCATAGATTTCCATCAGTGTTATTAAGCGAAGCACAGCAGCCCAGTACAAGCTGATTCAATGAAATTAAAAATTGCAAAAGTTCAAACTAAGCTATTTCCCTGCTAACAGTGAAATGCTGAGAACCAGAATTGAAGCATGCAGAAGAAAACAGAAGGGGGAAAAAAAACAGGGTTGGAAATGGGGAGTGTCAGGAATCCAGAGGACAGAAAAGAGCTCATTCCACCTAGCAGTGTCTTGAAAGGGCAACCACAACAAGGGAAAAAGGAAAAAAAATATTGACCCTTAAAGCTCCAATGCCTACATGTACTCACCAAGTGGAGGGAAGCCCCGAGCAGGGCTTGTATCTCGACTGCTCTCACGGCTGGTATCACGACTGCACCCCTGACTCATGCTGGGTCGGGGGATACGACTGCTCCGTGCTAGCATGCAGCATGGAGAGTTTCAGAGAAGGTGAACAAGTTTAATGAGGACAGAAAGCTCAAAGTCAAGTCACAGTTCTGTTAGTTATGGTAATTATTACATTAGTAATTACAATTTGCAGCAGCCTGCTCAGGCTTTTTACAAACCAACTACCTTACATGCTGAGCTGTGTTTGTGATGTGAAATTTCAGCAGCATTAATGTCTGGCTGACAGTCTGCTCTTTCTTAAGCAATCCAAGTTTTGTTATTCAAGTAGAGCAGGAATCTTCAATCATTTAGGGAAGCTCTACTGTTGCAAAACAGATGAGGCTGAAAGAAACCCTTCCGGAATATTTCTTCCTTAATTTTAAAATAAAAACCCTTCTGGAACAAAATAGCAGACAAAAAATTTCTTTAAATAATCATTAGACTGGTATTATATTTTTACATAGATTTGCCTTTCACAATAAGAGTTTTTTAACAAATATCCTAAGGAAAAAAAAGTGTACTGCACGGACTTGCAAAGATATCTTTCTCCAATGAAAGATACTGGGAAAAACCATTTAGAACCTGAATACCTGAAAGACAGGTTAAAAAGTGATTTGAATTTGAACAGAGCAGTAGCTTCAGATATTTAACAAAAGCTAGCTTCTGCTCCTCAGACATTTCTAGAAGTTTATTGTCATGGCTCTATATGCACACAGTTTGAGACATACGGACACTTCAGGGGAGCTTTAAACTATATTCTTTACTTGGACAAAACCCTGCATGCTTGCAGAGGTTTGAGACCCTGCATGTTTTAAAAATGTTTGCAGAAAGTTTAGTAAGCCTGTTAGAGAATACAATATTTTCTTAGGGCAAAAACCAGCAGTTAATTGAAGAAGAATTTAACGACAAGAGGGATTTCCCTTGCTGTTTCGAAAAGGCAGTAGCATATTTCAAGTGTTCAGGAATCACCACTGAGGAGTTTTCTCAGGCACAGACTAAAACGTAACCTACCAGCTCTGATGACAACACAGTAGTGGTACTTACTTATGTGTAACATGAAGGTGCTAATACTTTGACTGTATCCTCATTTTTATAAAAATAATGGCATTTGCATGCTTCAGAATATAAATATATATTCTTATAAATCTCTATTGATTTGTATACTTAAATGCCTAGACTCAAGCTGAAGTTCCTCTACAGTGCTTCAGTGCTCTCCCATATACTGGATATATTAGCATCCTTCAAGCAAAACAGTACAGAACAAAATAGAAACTTTCATATTTAGGCTTTGAAATTAAAATAGAGACTTCTGCCAGATTCTTGCTTTGTCAAATCCCTCCCAGTTTTGCAAAACCCAGTTTATATCTCTCAGATGAATTAATGGTTCTGATGGTTGACCTCTGATGTCAGACAATGCAAGATGAGCTATCAACCAAGCTGATTAGATCACCATAATGTCTAATGGTACTGAGTTAGATGGTTTTACAATAAATAAGACATACTAGATTATAAGAACTGGATGAAATTAGGGTCAATGAGTACAATAATCCCATCTCAGATGTACAAGGGAAAAAGCTGACAGGTGAACTACAGGTAAAAGTAACACTAAAGCTCTCCACACAAATAATTGGTTTGAAATTGCAGACCTCTAGAAGCAAACTTCTCATTCTTGGGTCACATGCTTGGATGTAAATAATGGCAGCCTTCACATCAGGTTTGCACAAGCAGTCATTTCTCTTAAACAGAGAAGATCTGCCCATTTTTTCTATACTACAACCCAACTAAAAACAGTAAAGGCTCTTTAGAGAGGGAGAGATGTGAACGATTAAAAAAAATTAGTGGATGCATACAATTGTTTCTCCCATACCAGCTAACAGCAGAAGCATGAAGAAAATGCACTTTAACTGCACTGTCCTACACTAGCAGGACAGTGCTACGGATGAAGCATAATACTGACTGCACAAACAGAACACCCAAAGCCAAACATTGGGTATTTCAGGATTAATGGTCAAATAAAAGGGTTGCATGTTACTGGATACAAAAGAAAAGCAAAGAAAAAAAATGGATTGAAAAGAACTGAAGGATGAGTCTGCTGTGGACTCCCAGGCACCTGCCTCACATTTTCACCACCATGTTGTGTAGAGAGGATTTTGTATCAGCTACTCAGACTATTTCCTTTAGACACTGCCAGCAGTAAAGGCCAAGAGTGCTGTCATTTAGCTAAGTCTCTCATACTGTGACAGTCTGTCTCTGCAGTGCAGGGAGCAAAAGCAAAGAAGACAGACCAAGTCTCAATTTGAGAATTCTCTACCCCCAAAAGCTGGAAGGAAATCAAGTGCATGAGTAGCAAAATGGATTAAGAGGACTAGGCAGCATGAAAGCAGACAGTGCGACCACAGCCAGATCTGCTGTGACTAAGTCTAGGACAGGACAAAGATGGGTTGTTTTCCAATAATATTCCACCTTTCTAATGTGTACTGTACATCTAAGTTTTACCAATTTCATCTGGAAAGTCAGAGCACTTAGACATGGCTCACACCATTATTAAAACACACTATTAAGCAGTCTTATGCCACTGGAACCCAACAGATGCAAATATCACCAGCAGAACATGAAAGTACCCCTTGTTTACCAATCTACCACTTGGAAGAAACTGGTTAGGATATGAATTTTAATGATTCTTAAGTGGAGACTAAAAATCAGCAGACGCTTTCTTACATCAATACTAGCATTTTAAAGAGTCTGAAATTCTGCCAAACAGCCAAAGGAAAGTTCTGCAGTGGGGAACACCCAGTCAAGGCAAGTCAAGAACTGCCTGCAGATTTCCAATAAACGTACACAGCATAACCCCAACAGAAAGAGTGCTGCTGCACAAAGCTGATAGGCAGCTGTGCTTGCTCCACTTTTTGGAGAATGGCTATCTTGACTCTCTCACTTCATTCAGATCCAGCTGTGCCATATGATCTGCAGAGCATCTAACAGAATTAACTTCAGACTGATAATTTTCAAAACATGGGGAATGGGTATCACCTGTTTGAGCAGATGATCTCCTTCAAGGGGCCCAAAGAAAAGCTCAAGATTAAGTGAAATGCACTCCTCCTTCCCAAAGAGGATACCACCACCAGTAAAACTCACTGAGCAGACAGCAGAGGCAAGCTTAAAACTGAAGTGTCACACATATGGCAGAGCCATATAGGTGACCACACAGGACCTCAGCACACTGAATGTGCCTCATGCTGCTTCTGGGGAAACAAAACCTTCTTCAAGGTTCCCAGCACACAGAAGGAATCTACTTAATGGATACCTTTAGTCATCATGGAAATCAAAGCTAGAAGCAAAGTACTGATGCTAACAGGCATCCACAGACAGAGGGCTCTATTATTGCTACTGCCCCAGGAGGGCCTGAAAAACTCCAAGGGATGGTTTCTGTATTTGGAATCAAGGTGAGTGGGAGTCTATTTAATGAAATGAACAAACAAAATAAAATACCAAGGAAATATAGAGACTGAAGCAACACAATAAGAAAGCATAAAATACTGTTAGCTACTATTTTAAGAAGTAATAAGTGCAATGGAATAATGGTATATAACTGACAGCTCAAAAGCTATCTCCATCTGGGTCAGTATCACAACTTTCAAAATCCAATCAATAAACAGAATTTCTGCAACTGAACAGTAAAATGTCAGACACTCCTGTTCCCATAACAGCTCAACCCAGGCTGTGTTCATCAACCTGGGGGGAATAGGTAAAAGCCACACATCTGATACATGTCAGAGCTCTCTCCCACTCTCAAAGAACAAGCACTGGTGTCCTCAGGGACTACATCAATGAAATGAGATACAAATTACTCTTTTAAAAGAATTCAAGGCTCCTGTAATATACCTGAAAGCAGGCAACCCAAGAGTGAGGATTTTACACAAGGCAATTTCCCTTCAGGTGCTCAAGAATGTTTCAAATCAGACCACATAATATGATGATCAGCTTAAGCATGTGTGATGGCACCATCCACCAGCCTTTGCTTCCTCCTAAAAAACAATGCGCTTCTACACAGTGTAGCAGAAGAATTACCTCTAGTATTTGGGAGGCAATTTACATTTTAAAAGCAACAAACAGAAAAGCACAATGTATTCATAAAGAGCCCATAAAATAGATCAGACATGAGAAGAACACTGAATTTGGAAAAGCAGTCACAATGAATATGCAGTATTTTTTATGAATCATAATGGTACATACACTCAGGTGCTTTAAACTCATTTCAGTATACTGGAAAGAATAAATAAAATACTTCTTTATTAACAACCTCCTCTAAATAAAAATGCAGCTCAAATGTAAAATATTAAACAATTGCTATGGCAATAGTTATAAATTTAATTGCCAACAGTAAGGCTACGATTTCAATCTATTTCAATCTACTAGTAAAGTCTTAGGAGAGAAAAAATAATTTAGTATCAGTATCATTTAAAATGACTGACAAACTTATAACATAATTTCTAATAAATGAAAATGTTCAGACAGCACACTGAATACCTTTCCACTTCAACTCAGATACACAAAGTTTTATATATACAATATTTACTCACCTGACTTAAAAAAAAGGTCTGCTGATAAATTTGAAAATAGAAACTATTACTCAATAGTCACTGAGATGAGAGTATCAAAAACAGTTAATTAAGAACAATTAATACATAAGTCTAAAACGTGTTCTAAGAACGTGGCTCCAGGATATTAAGGATGAGAGAAGCAAACCATTTAAGATGCAAAATTTCTAAAATAATCCAAGAAGGTGCTTTTTGCCCTTGATTCCATGTGACTGTAAAGACTGCTCAACTCATTTTAGGACTAAGCTTAAATGAGGTCTTTTTGCTGAGATGGTTTTTCACAATTGTTCTTGCTTCCTGATCTAATGATACTGCTCATGTTGAATTTCAAACAGAAAACACCTCATGACATCTTTAAGTTTACTTTGAAACCATAAGCTCAACCTGGAAAATTCAAATTACTCTCCCATACACCACAATCACATTAACTTGTCAGCTGAAAAACTCAGAAAAACAACAGCACCATAAACAGTTTCCTAGTCAAGAGGAAAACCCCTCCTTCAAGCAGGCTGGCCAGCACCTCACTGCAGAGACTGTTCTTACCTAGGCCTATTCTGTTGGGACTCGTCTCCCGACTGCATCCCTGGCTCCGAGGAATCTTGCTGCGCTTCTCTGAGGATGATGGCACTGGCTGGACTCTGGATGCTCCACTGCTCAGGCCACCATAGGAGCTTCCTAAGAGCTTACCCGGAGAGCTAGACCGGCTACCAGCTAGAAGAGAACCAGAAATAAAGAAAAAACAATTAAAAGCCCCCAGGATTTTAAACACACTGGCAGCAAAACTGGAACATAATCAGCTCTATATAAGAATTTAATCCAAATCCCTCAGAAAATTGATGGATGTGTCCCCTATAAGCTTTCAAGAAGACTGAGGAAAGCCTGTGGACAATGAACACTGACATCAGCAACCCTCTGCTGCCCACAGAGATCAAGCCCAAAGCAGACACTGCAGTGTATGAACACCCAAGTTGGCTTTAGGAGAGCTTGTGGAGGTGCTGGAGCAGCCTTGCTGCAGCAGCAAGGGATTTCCAGGCTGCCTCACCTCCTCGTAAAGCAACACCAACCAGGCTGAGTGCAGAGCTGTGCTGCAGTGCCCTGGCTTCTGGCACAGGTCACTCGCTGCAAAGCAGCTCAGGCAGGTTCGTGCTACACTCTAATGCTGGCATTGCTTTTCTGGAATAATTCAGTGAAGGAAAATAAAATACCCACCACATCTGAACAGATCAGCACAATAATGGGAAAATCCCATGAGCCTCACACTCAGAGAGGTGCTGGGTTACTTGGGTCTGGCTGGTTAAACCCAAGTTATTTATTTTTCAGATGATGAAATTTTTCAGCAAGTTGAATAGTTAGCCTGTTTTATTTTTTCTTGTGTGTTTGAATGGTCCATGACAACTTTACATTTCTTCTAAGAAATAAGTATGCAAGTCCCTGAAGATCTGCTGCTGCCATTACTGTTTCTGACATTGAATTTATTTGCTGAAACAGCCAAGAAAAGTATATTTGAAAGGGTTGCAAGACCATACTCAGGCAAGCTCACATTTTGAACCAGTATTCACACTATTTTTTTTCTGAAATGCATCTACACATCTCACAAAAATTTCATTTCCAGATACTTTTACAACTCGTATGAGTTGAAGACTGTTCTTCTGTATTGATTTAAGAAGCTGTGCAACTCCATTAGTCTCATGAACAATACCATAGCACATGTATAAATTTACTTGCCCCCTCCAATTTCTTGGCCAGAGCTATTCCGAGCCAATCAAATATAGTCCAATACTGTACATGGGGCCAGCTCCATTCTCCCCACCCCAAAGTGACAGGTGCCAGTCTTCCACACAGCACTGTGACCTAAAAGTCATCTCACTGGTGTCAGCAGGGATGTACTCAAGTAACTGAGAGAATAATTCACCCCTGGGGTTTGAGCTGCAGCAGTGAGACAGCTTTGACATCAGAACACACGCTTACCATGTCTGACTAGTGGGAGAAAGCAAAATCACCTGCCATACACATTTTGATTTATGACTTCAAGAAAATGCTTTTTAAGTCTTACAGTTAGGAGAGAATGAGGAGAGCTAAAAGCTTAGCAGTTAAAAAATGTGAAGGAAATAATGTGAAAAAGCAAGAAAGGGAAAATGTTTCTTACCACCAGCAGGATTAGCTGATCTGGATCCTTGATTATGAGGGCAGACCAAGGGACAGGCAAAAAGTGGATTAAAAGACAGCAAGACAATACAGCGTTCAGCATGCGGTTTGTGCTATACACAATACAGACAGATTCATTTACAAACATGTCACTCCTAAAGCCTCTGCAGAGTGCAGTGAGTTAATGTGCAGATGGCAACTAAACTTCCCAAGGCTGACCAACTTCTCAGCAAAATGTCAACCAAGACACCAAGACCCAAGCTCTGCTCTAAACTGCATCCCAACACAGTCTGAGAAATTACAACATGGTTATCCATGGTGTGGGCATGGAGAATTTGGTCTTGTGACTGACTCACTACATTTGAATTTGTAAATTATTCCATGCAGCACTTGGTTTAAGGATAAAGATCACATCTGGTTGGGCTAGGCTGGAAACTCAGCAAACTAGACCAAGGCAGCAGGTCCAGACATGATCATCCTAAATCTTCTATAATCTTATAAATAAGGCATTCTATAGAAAAATTAGGTCCATAATCTTTGAAAACCTTTAAAGAATAACAATTTTTAAAACACTTCTAAGACTTATCTCATCTGGTATAACTGCTTTTTCACCAAACTAAGTTTAGGGGAAAAAAAGTCACTTCTGGCTTTGGATCAGTTCTAGGTTCCACACTGAAGAAATCAATTTACATTAGCATCCCAAAGCCCAAATATATCCTTATTACCTCAGTGTAAAGATTTCCATTTGGCCCCATGCTCAATATACTATTTTCTTCTGCAGTTCTCCTAGCCTAACACAAGTCTACAAACTGCTTTTTCATCCCTCCAGCATGACAGAGCAAAGCAATGAAAGAATGAACAGAGAAGGGCTTTCAAATAGGGGTACAAAGCAAGACAAGTCCTCAGAACAGACAGGTCCTTCCACAAACCAAATTTCCTATGGACAAGGCTGAAAGTCCTCATAACTGGGAGTTCCTTTTTAAAGTCTGAGTGACAAAATTCTCCTCAGATACACATGACAAATATGCAGCAGCACCATATGTGTGGCTTTTAGGATAAAACTATGCCTTGCCAGGAAGCCAGAGAGCACAGATGTGTCATGTGAATCAAAGCAGAACCCTTTTTTCCCATATCTACACAAAATAGGTGATGTCCTATTTTCAACTGATGCCAAACCCCATTAATTTTAGACAGCTCACATGTTCACACATACAGAAATAGTCTAACATAAGCAGGAGAGGCTTGGCAGGGGCAAGCAGTCAGCTACAGGCACAAGGGGTGTCTCAGCAAGACACAGTGCCAGTTATTTAGAGCTACACATCAGCGACATGAAATTCTGCTGCACAGCTGGTAAAAAAAGGCCGCAACTAAGCACTGGGATTTGGGGCCCTGTTTGTCAGCAGGAGCACACACTGGCTAGGTGGGGAGCTGTTTTGTTACATGTCCAAAGTGAGCCCAATTCTCTGCTGGTGCTACTGCAATTCAAGAGAAACACATTAATAACTCTTTGTTCTGCTCCCCCAGGAATAAAGTGATTCTTACGCTGGGACTGGGAAACTACTTTAGCCCGGCTGCGGCCTCGAGTATCAGCAGGCGTTGAGGTGACACTTGTGGCACTGCCAGAGCTCTGTCTCCTGGTGCGAATCCGACCTGCAGGAATGCAAAGACAATCAGACTGTTAACAAGTTTCTTACAAAGGCAGCAACACTAAACACACAATTACCCAGGGTATAAAAAAAAGTTACTGGGAGAGGTAACACCTTTTATTAGGCTGGCTGAGATGCAGGTGAGGGAGTGGAAGCAGCCACAGCCCACAGTCCAAAAACTTCTTTGCTTTCTGTAATGCTATCAGCCAGTCTAATTAAAAAATATTACCTCTCTATAGCCTTTACTCCTGTTCTATAGTAGCTTCTTTACGAAGGATCAACAACAAAAAATTTCAAGTTTCCTAAATGCAGCCTCCTGTATCAAATTATTACTTTCTGACAAGGTGATCACCCTTTCAGAGACAGGTGTGACAGATCCCCTCCCAAATTCCATCGCTGGGATTTCCAACTAGCTGTCTGGTACTTTATATCCTGCTCCACCTGTGCAGGCTGGCGTGCACTCCTCTGACAGTCTGTCAACGCAGTCAGATCACACTTTTATTTGAGGCTCATTGAATTTTCCCTGCTGTTTACAGGTCCCTCATATTTATCCAGAGATCAGTGCAACTTTACTTGTAATAGAGAGCCCTGTTTACATAATCAGTGTTGCGGAAAACAGATTCTGTGTGCCTTCTCTTTATTTCAGCAGAGAATGGATATAAAGTGTCAAAGTGTTCTCAGTCCCTGTTCTGTCCTTTCCTCATGGAAAAGCCACAGAAATTTGAGCTAGGAAAGCTTACAGGGTCATCGCTTCATCCCCTTCCTGGGGCAGGGTTGTTTCCTACAAAATGTTCTTTCCAGTGCTAAGCTTCAATTATCTGTCTCTAGTTAATGGGAAAGAAATGATAATTAAGAGTAACACAAAGAAAGCCTCCATCAATACTTTTCAACACGTAAGATCCTAGCCAAATTTGAAGTTTTTTTTCTCAGGACTCATGCCAGTGCTATCCTGCATTCAGAGGATGATTTCAAGTTTCAGGCACATTAATGAAAGGAAAAAACCCACAGCAGGTAAAAGTAGTCTAAACAACTGCACCCACTGGTTATAGATACTCATCTCCTGCCCTCTGTCTCCACCATAAGCATACAGAGAAATATGAACAGGGAGACACACACTTCCCACCCAAAAAAACCCACTTCACATAAGGCACACATGCAGGACAAGACAATGGCAAGCAGCCCAGACGGAGCGATTGGGAGCTATGTTTCTTCTCTGAGCTCTCAAAATATACATAACAGGGTCTGAAAGCTTCTGCTAGACACAAAGTGACAAGGAGATGCCTAACTTTGAGAAGAAAGGGCAGATTTGTTTGCACGGGAAAAAGCCGACAAGACGGTTCTACTTCAAACTTTCCACCGGCATCTAGTTTTAAAACAGCTCAGTAGGCAAAGCAGAGGTATGTACATTCAAACAATCCTTTATAGATGAGACACGGAAGGAATCATCAGCATAACACTGGGAAAACAAAAACAAAACTTTTTATCCACTGGCTCAACTGAACAAGCTCTGAGCACACCCACGTGGGTTCAACAGCCGCAAGACTGGCTGCTGATGGCTGCAGACTCCTCTGCTCTAGGGCATTCTTGCCCCTTACAAAGGGTCAGCCTGATACACTGCCAGAGGCAGCTTAAGGCTCTCCATCAGCCAGATCCCATCCCATGCCAGTGTGGCACAGCTACACACAGATGAGCAGAGCCACTCTGTCACTTGTTAATGAGCATGGATCTAAAGCCTGACGCAGGCTCCAAGGCAGGCAGACATCGTGCTCCTCTCAGAAGCCTCAAAGCTTCCCTTCATTTCTATCAAGAAAGCATCACAGTAAGACAAGAATTTAAACCTGACCAATCTTGAGAATCAGTAATGGAATTCATGTACATCCTTCCAGATGACCAATGGGAGGCCTTGGCATTGCAGGAAGTCCTATGGGGGAAATCAAGCTGAAATTCAACACTACACACACAGCACTGGAGAGCACAGTACTGGAAGACACGTTTGGTGATGTGCATGGGCCAAGAATGGGTGAGAAGGGACTGATGCCTCCTCCTCTTACACAAACACCACTTAAGATCCTCAAAATTTCCTGGCTTTTTCTGCATCTACAAAAGATTTTTTTTTCTTGCATCTTCATCAGTAGGTCACTAAGAAGGGGAAAACTGGGATAGCATGAGTGACGACTTTTCCAACTTAAGAAATACAAACCTGAAAACAATATATAAAATTAAACTGAAATTAGCTTCTGAAACCAATTCTAGAGGTTTTGAAAATAAAACAGAACTAACACAAACTTGATTAGCAAGTGATTATCAGCAGTATTGGAAATAGAGAACTCAGCCCTATTTTGAAACCCCCGAGGGCTGGTGGACAGATTCCTACCAACTTCAGCATTTTCTGAATGAATGAAAGAATGAATGCACAGGAACAAAATTCTGCTTCCTTTTGGACTGGTGGATTTGCACACTGATTTAGGCCCATTGGGTGTCAGAGAGAACAGTGTGAGAGGAGAAGTTGTTCTTCCACAGAAGGAACAGAGTCCCAATAATGATACAGATTTTCTCATCCTTTAAAAAATGATGACAAACATTTGAACTAACATTGCACAGAGTTGCACTGTGCAAATGGATTTTTTTAATATATATTATACCAAGTACAGCATGCATATACAGTAGTTAATCCACACAACACAAATGTGTCTTGTATGTTCCCCCAGGAGTTTCATTTGCAAACAAGAATATGCACTCATTTCCAAGACTTACTTGCACATTGGTCTATGTGTGGCTTTATCTCTATCATTCTAACCCAGACAGAAAAAACTAATTTCAAGCAGGGCTGGAAATAAACTATCAAGTAAATTATTTACTTTTTCATTGGTTTTAAATTCAAGCAAACACCTCCCCTCCCAAGACTTCTTTGCTTTCAAGTGGGTTTGTCTCCATATCTAGCTCAAACTACAGATGTAGCAATCCATATTTCATAACTATTACTTTTCTGCTGCTTTTAAAAGCTTTGCTGAATCCTAACAACAACAGCACAGCAAAGGAACAGAAAAAGACTGCCCCAACTAGTTTCCAAAAACCATGAAAGCATTTTCATTAAAAAGCCCTTGACCTAAATTTGACATCTGACACACTGCTATTGGTAAAGAAAAGATTTTTGAAAGATTCCATATAAATGCAGTGTGTTAAGAAACCATTTCTGGATTTTTAGGAGGTTTTGGTTTTATTCTTAAAAGTTACTGTCATTTTTACAACAACAGTTTAGAATCAACCCCGAAATGTCTAACAAATGCCTAAACCTAGGAAGGTTGTTTTGTTTAGTTTTCAGAAGAGGAACAAATTAAGGAAGATTCTGTGATAACATCTGTGCTTTACAAGAGGCTTCACCTGGCAGGTTGAGCCCTCTGGGTGGATGCTGCAGCGTCCCCATCCCCAGTGCTCAGAACAGTCATAGGCTTTTTGTGACAGTCAGTCTGCATATTACACTGAAGAAAATGGTTTCCAAATAGTCTAGAAAATGGTATTAACAGCTCCACAACTCACTTTAATCAATTCCATACTGTGAACTGGGACACCTAAAACCACACAAGTTATACATAGGCACAGTGGGGCTGCACTGGAATGATGATGGTCTCTCCAAAGATCAAGTTAATGCATTTAGGTTACCCAACACTGGGGTTTTTGCCCTACTTGGAGAAAAACATTCCTGAAACAGCCTCTAGCCCTAGCTGTATCACTGCTAAATGACACATGGACCTGGGAGACACACAGAGATCAATTAAAAACATGCTTTATAGATAATATATAAAAAACTTTTTACAACCATCACCAGAATGGTTTCCATGCATATTTAGCACTTCTCCAACATCAGAAAGACCTGACTCTACACCATGATTTTCCCTGAGAGGCATCTGATCCTTACTGGAAACCATCAAGCTGTGCTGCCTCTAGGCTTTACATGAGATCTCCCTCCAAAGCAGAGGCCTCAGTGAACAGTCCACTTTGCCCTACACAAACAAGCACAGCCAAATGAGCTCAGCACTTTGCAAACAGATGGAGCAAGCAAAATAAGAAACCTACTACCTGAGCAGTTCCATGTAAGGTACCACTGTCAGTCATTACTTTGAATCAAGCCTCACCCTTAAGGACAAGGGAGAGCTTTAAGGCAGAGAAGAAAACAGAAGAGCGATTTCTTTAAACTTGTGTTATTTTCAAAGCCTTTAATAATGCACTCAAGGTGTCTACCTGAGCCTAAGTTATCTGAAAACTAACAAATCCCATTTTACTGACTTTCTGGTGAATATTAGAAACTATTAAAAATTGTGACACTGGCTGCAAACCGCTGATTTTGTTCTGAACTTGCCAGTCACAGGTCAAACCAGCATTTATGCTTTCCCTTTTGGAGAAAGGCTTTGTCTAAAGGGTTTGACTTTATGCTTGCTCTGAAAAAAGTAACACAAATGCTCTAAGCCATTCTAATTAAAGTCAGCATTATGCACCCTTTTAAACTATTATTTGAAAAGCTGTTTCATGAGAAAGTAAGCAGAAACTTTTATAAGGTTTCCTTTTAATCAGGTATAACAAACATGGCACAAGTGCCACCTCCCTAGCACTAGCTGTGAAGATCAAGACTGTAAAGGTTTATCTCTTTTGAGCTTTCTGTGTGTAAAGCCCTTAATGCAGTTCAAAAGATCCCCATACATGAAGGGTCTGGGCAATCAAGCCACATCTGTGCACTGCATCAATCTCTGCATAAACCTCACTCGTATACAGACTCACCTATCTTTCCATAAGGAAGTGAATTTCTACAGCAGTTGCTAATTGTTGGGATGCCACAACTTAATACCAAAGGACTGATACTCAGCTCTTAATTTGCATTCTTGCCACCAGCATCACCTACCCTATCTTGCTCGTTGTTTGAGCTGCCTGACTCCAAACCAAACCGTGAGGAGAACCAAGGGCAAAGGAGATGGGAACTGCCAAGTCCACACAATGCTGGCTCCTAGCTGAGAGGAATGAGCAGAATTTTACAATGCAGCTACAGAAAGCCATGATGAGAACCAGACTGCAGATTTAATGTCAAGCTGAACCACACAAAAAGACACAGGAATTTTCTCTTATTGGATACTTGTAAAAAAAACAAAAGCCAGAGCAGCGCAACTGTAGACGATATTTCTGGTTTATGTTCTGTTTCCAGAGCAAGAGGATGTTTTTGTCTACCCCCACCCTCTTAATTTCTACATTTATGTCAAGAATACAAAGTTTTATCTTCCCTGTAGTTCCTGACTCAACCTGCAAGATCACAGAGTAGGCAGAAGACCTTACTCAGCTTCATTATTCAGGGAAGGACACACTCAATAATCCTGAATAAAGGGGTTTTTTTCCCTGAACTATCTCAAAGGAAAAAGATGAAGAGTTTCAAACAGCGATTAAACTCATTCTTGAAGTACTCTGACTATAGTGTACTGTGTAGTTTTAATTCTCCCTAATCTTCCTCCTCAAAAAAGTGACAATGCTACAGCAAAAAGAAGGTATAAGACTTGATATATAAAACTTAGGGGATAGCAAACTCAATTTCTGAAAGTTCATCTCAATCTTTCCTGCCCCAAGCAACTTGCTGGTTTCTATTACAGATTTTAACCAAATCAAATTTGCTCCAAATATAACTGAATTGAAAACAGCAACCAAATAAAACCCCTACCCTTTTGCATCATGACAATAAAGTATTTAATAAACTAAAAATAGAGGTATTCCACAGGACAGCTGCTGTAACAAGCCTCTGCAAACATTAGCATAGCCAAGGAGAGGATTGAAAGCTGCATATGGTATTTCATATAAAACATTAAACCTTGAACACTTCAAATGTAGGCCAAAAATTGATAGGTTTGAGAACTAAGATGAAAGAAAAGAGTCAACAATTAAAAAAAAAGAAAAAAAAAAAGGCAGAAGAAAAAGATCAGTTATTACAGCAACTTGGAATTTTCACCTAACTGAGAACTGATTTAGAAATATAGGTCTCAGGCCAACTTCATATTCTTTATCACTGACAGATCACAAAGCACTAACATCCTGCTCAAGATGCAAAGGAGAGGTCAGCTCATCTCTCAGCAGTAAGTACCATTTCCAAAAATGGTACAGACCTTTTCCTCCAAATAATAAATCAATGCATCACTAATAGTAAGAAAAATAACACAGATATCACAACAGCACAGTGGAACTTCTCAGACCACCACATCCAAATACAAGCAGCCATCAAAGATACAAGCACAGTCCCACATGACAGTAATAGATCCCTTGAAAAGAGATTCACATTGGGAAACAAAAAAAAGCTCTGCTGGAGAGTGTGGTATCTTCATTCTGTGTAGAAAACATTCTTGTTTTCAACTCCTGTCTACCTCAGGAAAAGTGATTTCCCAGTGATCTTTTTTTGCTGAAGAAATAAGAAATAAAGAACAAGTTTTGACAATGGGCCAGAAAAAGACTGGGATCCTTCCCAAACTAGCAGGCTCAGTGTTCTAGTAAAAAAAGCCTTTCCTCCAACTGTCTTTGGTGTAAGGCATCTCACTCAGACAGTTAACAATAAAAAGAGAGAGGTCAGGTTTAAAGAGGCTGACTAAATATTCCTTCCCTAGAGATCATTGTTTACTGTCCTCATTTTTCTGCCATGTGATCATCTCATTCAATTCTCTCACTGCCCAGTCTCTTCCCGAAAGCATTTGGCAGTTGTGACCTGAGCTTTGGGTGGAAAAACACAGCAAACCTTTACACACCAAGGAGAAAAGAAATCACAAGCCTTGTGTTGTTTGGGAGTTTTTTTTGTTTTAGTTGAGTTTTTTTTTTAGTCTATACACATGTCACCTTCAACCAAAAGCAGTGCTTTAAATAGAGAAACCCATGTAACAACTTAGTGACCAGAGTCATAAAAGCAGACTAATGGTTATCAGCAGGGAGGAGCTCAAAGAGAAAGTGAGGAATACCCCATGGCATCAAAATGAGCAGGACAACCATGCAACACTTCATGCAGGTCACCAGTGAACATGGATGAGAACCAGGTAACACTTTGAGAACAGAGACCAGGTAGGGTAGTACGACTGTGGACACACCTCAGTTACACAGAGAGACTGCTTACCCTCGGCTTTACTGGTAGTACCATCTTTAGGCAAATTAAAGAAAAGTAAGGACAGGGTTAATAGGGAAAAATCAGTAACATCAACAGAAGTGGGCACTGTATATTAGCTACATAAATATGCAAAAAAAAATTAATACAATTAAAGAAATTTAAAAAGTTGGATTGAGCAACAAATCAAACCTTGATGTATCAGAAGAAAACACTTGCAGGTTTTCCCTCCTGCAACAACCAATCTCTGGCCAATTCCATTTTCGTTGTTTGCCTCACCATTTCTCTCATGGGAATGTGCAGGTGATAAATGTCCCTACTAGCTAAAAAGGAAAGCAGGAACCTTCAGGAGCAGCCACGTTTGCATCATTTAAGAGTGAATTTGCTACTTTTCTCCTAGACCCTGGTTAAAGAACAAGACTGACACTGGATTCAGTCTCTAAGCTTCAAGGACCAAGCCAGTTTTAAGTAGATACTTCCTCCCTCTTCATTCTTCCTCATGACATAAGACTGTTAGAAGCCAGTTTAGCCACTGAAGCCAGAGTGCAGCACAACTCAAAAGTGGCTGCATCTATAAGCCCACCATAATGTGATCAACTTCACATTCTGTAATTGCACTTCCATTGCAATGTATCTAAATCTTGAACCAAGTAATGAACAATTTAAATAAGAATAAGAATTCAACCTCTGAACTGAATACAACCAACACATCTAAGCCAGGGTAAAACATTTCAGATATGAAAGAAACCTGTCTGAAAAAGGAATCCGTAAAAAACATCCCTATATAATTCACCACTCACTTTTTAACAGGTCAAAGAGCAAATGCCCTACATTAAAAGAAGAAACTCCTCAACCAACTCAAGTGAAGACAATATACATAGCTTAAATCAAGAGCACAGACCCCTGAGTTTCTTCCCTGTTGTAAAGGTAAATTGATGACAAATCTGGGATTAGATTAGTGTGAAACCAGCAGAATGAGAAATGAGCTCAGATGATCAGCTCTGCTCACAACCGAGATGAAGCTCAGCAAGTGCAGTGTCAATCGTCAGTCCCTGCCTTGCATTTCCTCCTCTGTGACTCCTTTGACGGCAGCTCCAGGAGAGAAAGATCCAATGCAAAGTTTAAGAAAACCTGAGACACCTGAAGGCGATAAACAATGCTCTGAGAAAATAATGTGACATGCGGCTATAATCCAGAGAGTCAGCATGAGGAACAGATACTTATATCCTGTGTGATGACATGGCAAGGCCAACCTCCTCTTTGCTTCTCTATCTTTCTCCTTTGTGGAACAGAAAGGGAGCAAACTCAACTAAGATGTACTATTCAAAGCATAAAACAATTAATGGAAAACCAGTTTCAGGAAAGGAGGGAAGGAAAAGGAGGAGAAGAGACAGGGGAATATGTCAAAAGGAATTGAGTAGCATTGTCCTCAGCAATGTCCCAGAACCATAATATGTTCTGCTTTTTTCCCCAGAAAGAAGAGTGAGACGCAGATTATTACATAATTCAAAACTGTTGCTTCAAGTCACTTCTGCTGCATTTTTTTTTTCCTTAATCCAAAGGGCAAGAGATCACATACTGATCCTGGAGAGCTGGTAACTATCTCAGAGGCACGTTCTTCTAGTCAGTTTATTATTCCAATAAAACTGCGAGGCACTTTCTGCTACTAAAGAATGCTAACTGCAAGAGTAGAACATGTAGATTTACCTAGTGATGCGTATGACCCTGGGGGCAAGGCTGCAGCAGAACTGAAGGGGGTGGATGCTCCAGAAGACGTCACTTTTGACTTGGCACTAGCTGCTGCATTCACATCGACGTCACTGCGGGATCGCTGCAGAGATCCTGGTGTTGACACAGATTTTGTACTTACTGTAGATGCTGCAGATGGGAGTGGGAGATCCAGAATAAAGAAGATTAATTTTTTGAGCTGTGTGCTTCAAAGAGCCTGACAAGCAGTTTAAAGTACTATTTTTAACACTCCCTGCTGGCACTGAAATACCTCAACTAAGAATGCTTTATCAGGGCAATGTGGGCTTCCCCACACTGCCTGCAAAGATATTTCATCAATGCTGCCCTGATGCTACCTCTAAGAACTTTATCAAGTTCTAAAAGCCTAAATGATAAGATCAAAAAGGCTGTCAGGCCAGTAAAAAGAAACTTCTAACAGAATCTAGATGGGAAAGTTCAACCACAGTACCCATCACTGGCTTGTGAGAGTTGCTGGCCGAAACAGACCGGCAGGTCCTTCAGTCCAGGTTCTAATAACTTCCTTCCCAACACCTCATCTTCTCATGAGGATCGCTGCTCCCATCACTTGTTGATGCTCACCCTCTTAAGCATGAAGCTTGACTACTCAGCTGCAAGCAAACATGCATTTGTGTGCACAGTCAAGTAGGTTACACAACAACATCTCCTTGAATCAAAGGTCTCAGTAAAGGTGTAGTTACAGATAAACCAGCCAGAACCCAACCTTGGTCAGGTGTAAAAGGCAGCTTATCATTTACCAACAAAGTTTTGTCTATTATATTCTATAATAAAATGTATTACTTAGATTATTGTATACATTTACTTAGGACAGAAAAGCTGTCCCTAAATATTCCATTTGACAAGTAGCAATGAGATGGAATTTAACACTGTAGGACTTGTGTGCAGACACTTCTAGTAAGTGCAGAAACCACAGAGAATAAATAACAAAAACTGTAAAACTGAAGGCACTCTTAGACTATGTAGCTGCATGTCTTAGCATCAGCAGCAGTTTATTCAAGCTATTATAAAGCCAAACATACCTTGGCTACAATTTTCAAGGCTTTTTAGGCTTTCCTTCAGGTGTAAGAAATTATTGATTAACTAACTTCTTTAAAAGCATTATTTTATCAGTAGCTGATGCACAGAATATGGTGTAAAACCCTGAAGTAATTAAAATTTTTTACATCCTAAGCTGCCATTTTAGGGAGCAGTAAACAGTGATTGAAGTTGGTTTTTGTGTATCACAATGTCACACTTCCTCAGCAACACCTGAGCACATTTTTCAACTCCTGTTCTCACCTCTTGATGTTGTACTTCCAGTAGGACTTCTTTTGGCGGACAGTGGACGGCTGGAAGTTAATACAAATACTTACTGAAACAAAACTTGTATTTCATTTATCAAGAGCAGTACAATTCTGTTCCCTCAGTAAACAATTAAATTAACCGGAAATTATTTATATGCAGGAATAAAATACTAAAGCTTGTTGTTTAAGAATAAATACAGCACCACCATGAAATTATTTATAAAAAACATTATGAAATAAATTAGTACATTATTTGTACAAAACCAGATTCTTTAAGAACACTTTTTGCAGATTTAAAAAGTTACACCAGTAAGTTATGGATGTTTTTCATATGGGTCTTACACTTAAATCAAAGATATTTGGAGGCTAAGTTGACTGGATATCTGAGAGTAGCTAAAATACATACATTCAATATAAGAATTATATATTGACTCTACAGTTACAACTCAAGTTTAATTTAATCATTTTTTTCTTTTGTCTGGAAAGAGACAGACTTACACCTCTAGGATTAATGCTAAAGGCAGAACTTTAATCTAAGCACTGTTTTAAGCACCTGAAGGGAATAACTACCAGTATCTGCTGAGCACAAATAGTTTCCTAGAAAATTATTTATTGAGTCCATCTAATAATTATATTTTAAAGCCAGTACAGGGTTTTGATGTTCATACAGTGTTATATATAAATCAACCAATCAATTTTGGATTAACCAAGCTTAGAGTCCAAATGATGAGACAAAGCAACGTGATGGCTCCCTTCAATTCAATGGAGCTGTCTATCAGCAATTGTTTAAATGGAGAAGTAGTGACACAGAAAACCTTACTTGAGACTCTCCTGGGAGCTGGAGGAGGAGCGATCCGACTGCGGCAAGGACACGATGCTGTCAGAGTTCTTCAAATGGGACTGCAGGGCCTTCTGGTAGGAAGACTCCAAGGTGTGGTACAAATGCTCTGCCTCTCGGCTGAAGTGACTGTGGAAACCCCAGTAGCACCTGGAAAAGACACACAGAGCTGTGAACACACCCTTGTCATGTTTAGGGGACTGTGACACAAAGGTACAGCCAGAGCCCTTCTCACTATTCCCATTAGTGGGCTCATTAGCCCAGTCATTTCAAGTACCTACTGCCCTGACACATTTAAGACAAGCAGCTTTTTCAACTATTGTATTGCTCAAACAGCTGCACAGAAGACAAACCAAATGAAAGAACCATTTGGTGCATTTGTTGTAAAAAAAGGAGTAGCCAACAAAGCTGTATTAGGGAAGAAACCCTCACCCCTCCAGCTGTCTACTGTACATGGGAGACTGCAGGCCTACCAGACTGACACTAGTTTGGGACTGGGTGTGCAGTAGCTACTTCAAAAACATGCCAAAGGCAGAACACACATGAATGGGCCTGATTCAGGAAAGCACCAGCTGCTGTTTTCTTCCTTAAGTTTAACCAACAGCTCTCAAAGAATGCTGCAGAGACATGTCTCTGTACTGAGGCTGCTGCCTGTCTTTTTGGGGAAAAAAAAGAACAAAAACCAAAAACAAGCAAAAGGAAAGAGATGCTCACACAGACTTCAAATCAGTGCCATGATGAAAATAAAAGAGCATTTTAGGATGAGGGAAGAATTCCTCTATGGTCCAAACCTCCTGGCTGATGGCTAAACACCATTCACTCTTGGGGCACAAAGGAGATGAAGACTTAGTACTTTTCAGAGAGCAACTAATGGGCAATTTAAGAGTAAGATCATTAGCTCAAGTGAATCAAGAATTGTTTGTGTGTTTGTGCCAGTCCTCAGAGAAGCCACATGCATTCTCACATCACAAGAAGAAAACAAATTTCTGTCTTGCAATCAGCCACACTGCTATTTAATAAACATGGGGAGAGAGAATTAAGCATGCTCTCTAAAGGCCCATGCCATTCTCCTTGCTGTCTATTCAGCTTAACTAGTCACCTGCTGTGAAGTCTCAGTGACTACTGTAATTTTCAGTGATGGACATACTGCCTTTGAAAAGGATTTAAGCAGTCCTACTGTGAAACATCACTGCTTAAAACACAGCATTTAGATTAATAAAATTTATTGTTCATTGTTTTCACATTTTACACCATCCTCCTTCTGCAGAAAAACATTCCTGTAGTGTTCTGTTCAGAAGAGCATGATCCTGGTACACCAGCATACTTCCACAAGTATGATCATATTAATGGAAATGTGTAAGATCTTCAAAATAATAAAATTAATTGCAAATACTAAAATTTCCTATAGATACACAATTATTATTTTTTTTAATTTCATAAAATACTACCTTAATTTAGGATACCATTTAGCAGTGTACTAGCACAAGGACTTTTATCTCAAGAGTAGAGAATAACAATAGAATACGCTACTTCAGTGGGATGGGACCTGTAAGAAACATCTAGTCCAGCTGCCTGGCCAATTCAGAGCTGACCAAAAGTTAAAACTCCATTGTTAAGGACATTGTCCAAGTGCCCCTGAAACAGGTTTGGGGCATTGACCTCCTCTCTAGGAACCCTGTTCCAGTGTGTGATCCCCTCTCTTGGTATAGAAATGCTTCCTAATGTCCAGCCAGAAGTTCCCCTGGCAGAGTTTTAAAGCATTCCCATGTGTCTATCACCAGATCACAGGAAGAAAGGACCAGCACCTCCCTCTGTTTCCTCTCCTCAGGAAACCATACAGAATGGTCACCCCACAGCCCCTCTTTCTTCTACCAACTGGGAAGTCAGGAGAATGTCCAGTCAGAATCTTGACTGGATTTTTGTCTCAACCATGCAATACCACTAACTCACAAAACAGGGGCAAAGAAGGGGAGGAAGAGACACTAACAACAGCTTCCACTTACTTTCTTGCCTCTATCCTGGCTTCAGAGTCTGCATCATGAATTCCCTTCTTTATAGTTTCAGCTAACACTGATATGTGTCTGAAATAAGAAAGAAAATATTATCCAGCAGTTCAGAAAGAAATCACACACTTATGAAAAAATGACTAATTTGATTTTGCCTTGGTTTCTGAAAACAAACAGTTCACCACATCCTTTCATTTCCATCAAGGATCTTTTGTGACCTTTATTTATTTATTCTTCCAAGTCAGTTTTATTTCATCCACACTGCTGTCTAGGAAACAGCAAGCAGCATTCTTCATAGATCTTTACTTAGCTATCCAAACTGCCTGGATTCAAGAATAGACTCCTAAACCCTAAATAGTCTTGTGCAGTCTAGGGCTAAGAAAATTGTGTCCCAGTCTCTCCTCGCACAATTACTTTAACTGGTCACAAGTTTGAAGTAATGTAAAAGTCTCAGAAGCTCCTGATAAGACATGCAGCAGACTTCACCTCATTATTGCACTTTCAGGTACAAAAGGAAAAAAAAAATTAAACAAAAATTACTGAGTTCAGGGATTTGCTCAGCCAGGTTTTCCAAGGTTGGCACGGGAGACATACCAAACTCTGATGGAACTACAGAACAAATGGTGTATCTACATATTGGGTGGCAAAAACATCTCTACTACAGCCACCTAATATAACCTTCTTTCCTAAATGATCTTTTCTCCAGAATGATCCAGAAAATTATCTCCTTCTCCCCAGATAAGTAGGAGAGAACAAATCCACTTGTATTCAGAACTTACCTTTCTAAGGAGTGTGTCTGCCACTCCTGCAACAGCAAGTCTAAAAATTCAAAGCAGCGCCTGAGAGGAGAGAGAAGACATGCTGAGTTTAAGTTAATTGGGGCACACTGGCTTTGCATACCTGACTCTGAATAACAGCCATCTTTGCTTAGGAAGCTTTTTGGGCCATCAAAATTCAGTGTTGACCCCAATAAAAATACCAACGGCTTAAAAAAAATTAATAAACAGTCTGAAGTATTAATTGGAGGCAGCTTGCTATAGAGAAGCCTGAAGAGATGGATTGTCATAAAACAATCCTGGAAGCTTCCTTTTTAATTTAACAGGATACAGGCCTAGAAGATTGACACTGATACTCTGTACCTGTTAGTCCAGGGTTCACACAGAAACCTCACAGTTAGCCTCACATGGGGACAAACCCTTCTGATCTTAACCTCCCTTCCTTACTTCAGGAATCTTAAGGAACAAGTGTGCTGAAATGTGTTCAAGGTTTGTCACCAAATACAGCAACCACAAAGCCCTTCCTTCTGTCTAACCCCAAAAGAAACAGTTAAGGTATATGGAGGAAGCAAGAGTCTGCCAGTGAGGTAGTGGACTGAAGCACTTAAAATCTAAGTGCAGACAGGACCATTAGACCATTCAGTCCAGCTTCCTTTCCAGATGATGCTTTCATATAAGACTGATTTACTGGCTCAAAGAAAACAAGTCACTGTAACAGCCAGCAGTGGGCAATAGGAACGTGACTGTAAAAATGCCAAAATAATATGTTATAACAACACATAATGACAATTAGTTTAAAAACCATTTCTCCTTGTGGAAAAACACCTTTTCCTCTCTGAAGTGATGCAGTTTATACGGAACAGCTGACTTTGAATTTGAACTCAAATCATGGAGACGTATGAGATTCATGTTATAATAAGTAAGTGTGTTTTCAACTCTTTTCCAAAGCAACAACAAATACATTCACATTTTCAGAAAGCACCTACTTCCTAGTAAAAACCAGTAAATGCAAACTAAATTCTCACCTTCTAACTGCAACAGACTTGGAGGTACAATTACTGGTTATGATGGGTATTAACCGAGGGATGTGCGTGTGCTGGAAGAAAACAAGAACAGGAAAAAATCTTTACACAATTCCACAGAATGAAAGACTATCTCCTTCAGCCACCTGAGCTCAATGTTCAGATCCTTATTGTTGCTCAGTTCTTAAAAACAGAACTGCTAGATAAAGGAACACTAACAGATATACACAAATTTTTAATATTAAAAATATTTTACAATTTATCAGCTAAAATACCTTTAACAGACACTTGACTTTCTTCTATAATGACACTCTCTAGTGAGTCAAGGAGCTGGAATCACTGTGGGAGGATCTAAACTGCCAGTGGTGACAACTTGAGAGACATGAGGCTACGTAGAGCTTAGCCAATGAATCACTAGGCAGAAGTCACCACTGAACTAACAGATTTGAGAAACAAGGACAGTCTGTGAGGTATTTTAGAGCATAATTAAGAGGATGAGTCTGTGTTGCAAGGATTGTCTAAAACCCTTTCAAAGAAAAATGTTTGCTCAGCTCTTAGAGGGATGGAAATATCTTGCCCTGCAAAACAAAACATTTCCCCAACTATTCTGGCAGAGCTTAACAAGCATCATCTGTACAAGGCTGCACAACATCTGAGACAGCCAAGCCCAGCACTATCAGAAAAGTAGATTAGGCACTTAATCTTATTTTCATTGCAGCAGCACTCATATTTCATCAGAAACACTGCAGTGTTCAGAAATTATAACACTGTTCTCTTTTGATGCATACTTACTCGAATGATTAATCTAACTGCTACAACACCAGAAGTGGCCATGACTTTGGCACTATTTGGAATTAGATTAAAAATTGTTGGCATGATGGCTTCTGCCCCATGGTCAAACTTGTTTCCCAGAACTGATGACAAATGTCTGAAAAACAGAATGAAGTCATGCTGGTAAGTGAGCTGAAGATAAAGCGAGTCAGACTTGTACAGAACATCTGACATAAGCACATCTGACATCTCAATCTTTGCAACTGTCACCTCCTTTCCAACTCCAAACGACAGATAACACCTTGTTTCAAAAACAGTTCCCTTCCTTTCATTTCAAACTTGTGTCTTATATTCATCTGAACCCTAAGAAACAGTAAGGTCAGCATAAAATAAAGTAACTAGCACAGCTAAAAATTTATTATCAAACAAATGGGATCAAGGTGATAGAATATTTTTTGTTAGTTTATATTATAACTTCTCTGAAGCTCCCTATTTTGCCTTAATATGTACATATTTTTTTTAAAAAAAATGTCAGAAACACTGCAGCACACTTTTTCTTGAGGTATTTCACATAGGATAGACCATCAGATATAAAAACTAGCTCAATCTGAACCAGAACAAAACAAACATTTTCAGCTTCATTGTTTAATGCTTCCCTACTTGTGCATGAAGGCATGGCTTGCTTGTTCATTCTGTGTATCCCACACCAGCACTGTTTATTACTCAGGAACACAGCTTGGCACAATTACAATTAGTGACCTACATGAAACAGATGCAGAAAAATCACATTCTACCTTTAACTAGCAACACAAGCTACATCCTAACTGTGTTTTAACCAGCATCTGTTCCTCTTCTTCTACATCATGTTTCAAACACACATAGAAAATAAACTTACCCCAACGTGATGCAAGCCTCTCGTACGACTTGAGACCGCAGGTCTTTAGCGGATAATTTAAATGCTCCATCCAAAAGTCTTAAGTGTTGGAAGAAGTTATCATATTCTGCAGCTCCAGCCAAAAGTAAGGAACGGATTTTTTTCAACTGTTAGGAGCATAAAAGGAAACAGTGACCATTAATGAGCAGCAAATGTAAGGACAATTATGTTCAGGACCAATACCTGGTTCCAGGTTTCTTGTGCAATTATTCATCAACATGAACTGATGAAATTGATTCTTGATGTCCAAGTAATTTTATTATTTCATATCTTATATTCAATTCATGGTTAGTTAACAAACTAAGTACAATAAGCAAAACACCCTTGCTAACTTACAGAAATCCACAAGTGTTGCATACAGCTACTCAAATTATATAGTTAATAACCCAAACAATATATTTTAAACCAATATATTTTAAACATTCTCCTTTTTTCACCTATTTACAGCAGTTTCTAATGTTGAGGCAATCTCACAGCTGACTCTTGCATTAAAATGGTATCTAGACTTACAGGCCATGGTTCTCACCCAGGCCTGGGTAATACTGACTTATATTCAGAATGTGTCAATTGACTTCATTAAAACAGTTATCTGGCTCTAGCAGAAGTGGAACCCTGACCTCATCAAAATGGGAAATTTCCTATTAATATTACAGGGACCACCATCTCATCCTACAGACAATCCTCTGACACCTTCACAGGCCCTCCCGTGCACCAATGCATCTACACATGGCCTCGATTTCAGCTCCCTGTTACTCAGTACAGAAATAAAACTAAACAGAAGTAAGCTGAATTAGCCCTGTCTGCCTCTCAGATCTGTAACACAGGGTTTGACAGACAAGGCAAAGCTGCTACACCAGTGATGAAAGTCTACTGTGTAGACAAGACCATGCATCTATTTGTATCATGAAAACATAGCTCACCTCAGTAAATAATACTCAATCTTGACATGCATATAGCATCCAATTTTCCACTTCCACACTTCCCACAGTTATATTTATTCAAAACTTAACCGTGCACATTCCTGCTGAATTATTTTACACCTCCCTTTTGCAGGAGTATAAATAAGTTCTCTGTAAGCAAAGTAATTTTCTGCCTTATCAGGTAAGTTTTAAGATATTCTGAATAAGACTTGATACTTTGATTTTAGCACCTACTAGCAAATTTCTAGCTTTGCACCTGGATTTGCTGCACAACTTCCAGTTCAATCTGATGCTGCGTCAACAGACTCTTGTATATCAAATAGCAGTTCCCTCACAAATGCAGCTTAAATTCAGTCTCACAAGGAAACATTTGCCTCAAGTTTGGGGGAACATTACAGGTGCTCACCACTAAAACTACATTCCAGCCTTAGTCTGAGGTTCTCCCAAGCACCCTCAGTGGGATTAAGCTCAGTGTAGAAAAAGATTCTATTACCAGAGATCCTATCTAAATTCACTACTTACCGCAGAAACTCTCTGTTCCCAGTCATGTTTGTCATCTGATAGTATCTCTCTGATCTTGTTTATGGATTCCTCAAGATCCCGGCTGGAATAAATCTACAAATTGAAATACAGAGTAGCACTGTAATACAAGATTTACTCCATCACTTCCCAACTACATTCTTATGGCCTTTGCTCCTCAATGCTTAAACATCATGTGCTAGCCTTAGACACAACTGGCTTTGCATAATGCTCAGAATTTATACCTATTGTCTGCAACCAAGAATTTAGAAATTATCAGAAGATGATTAAAGGATCATATTTTATTATTTTACTATAGCTTCCTGCAGCTACTAATGGCTGTAATAATCAAAACCTACAGAAGACCATGAGTGGACACATGCTGTTCAGCTGTCTCAAATATCAAGCTCCAGTGAAGGAGATGGGATACTTGATGCATCTCAGCTATCCAGCTAAATCAGCAAACACACATGGTCCAGTTGTCACACTCACAACAGCCATCCCTGAGAACAAGTCACCTTTACAGCTTTCAGTTCCCAGAGGGTTTCCCATAAATTACTGGCACACCCCACCATTTAAAACTTGTTTCCTTTCAACCTCTAACCTGCTTCCCCCTTAAAGATTTGCCAACACCACAATGAAGCACAATCTGTCAGTGATTAGCATGAGATACTATATCCACCTTCTGCTTTTTAGTACAGCATGGTATAACAGATAACTACTTACCTGAACTGTAGGGACATCTTCAAATGCCTTAATGAAGTCTTCTTCATCCACAGCACCTGCTCCCTCTTTGGCTGCTGACACACAAATAAAAAAGCCTTTTAAATCTTGTTATCAAAAAGAGAATCAATTAAGAAACCACAAGCTACCAAGGCACTTAATCAGGAGAAAGTTCACTACCCATGCAGCCTGGGAATGCTGCAGATGTAATGAAAGCAGAGGCAGGGAAATTCAATGCCAGGCACTGGCGAGACATTCATGGCATCCTTCAACTCATAGGCACAGAGGGCACATTAGGGAAGTCATTACAGTAGTCACTCAACAGTTAGGGGGCACAGTCTGAAAGATGAAAGGGAATACTTACTTTAATTATATGGGAGACTATTTTAAAGGATTTAATCCCATCTATAATAGATGAAGGTGGAGATCTGACAGGTGCACAAACAGACGAACGTTAAGGAAGATAAATAGTCTCTGGAATACTAATCAGATTAGAGACTGTCTGATACAGGGAACTTTCTCTCTTTCCCTAGGACACATATAGAATTAGAGATACACATAGAATTATTGCTAACATTCAGAATGACTGCTCAGTTTTCTTTCTGCACCTTCATTACCAGCAATGCCCAAAGATCTTAGGAGAAAGCCAGTGTATCAGGTTTAGACTGCAAGGGCTGAAGTCTGGCATGTAGCTATAAGCAGTCTCAGTTCAGATAGAGCTGGAACTACAAAGGCAAAAATCTACACACTGGAGCACCAATATGATTTACTCACAACTCACAGTTGCAACCACACAGGTGCAACCTTTCACAAAATGCAAAATAAATTATGGGGATGTGGCGATTGCTTGGAGATTCATCCTACCAGACTTCGTTTGTGGCACGTGGAGAACGTAGACAGAATGACTGAATATGGAAAAATTTGTTACTGGATTCTGGGGGCCAGTTTGGAAGTGCTTGCAAGAAGCTCAATATGAACACTGTCAATACTTCACAGACACATCAATCTGTACAGGTTTTTGGCTTACTTGAGGACTTGGAGCCCAGAGCTGCAGAGCCAAGTCTGCGGGTAGTGCCCATCCCAACTCTGCGTGAGTTTGCAGGGGCCTTTGAAGATGTAGAGGAGCTGGCTGAGGAAGGTCTGTTCCCATCCACGGAGTCTTCATCATCAAAAATTTTATCTGCCAAGAAACCACACTCAGCTGTAAGTCCAATAAAGTAAAGGGATGTCCCAAGGAACATGCCCATATTATGGCAAGCATGTTACATTTTTCAGCCTGCTCTGCCAGTCCTCATCTCAGCAGTGTCCTCATGCTTAAAAATCCAGTAAGTTGTGAAATACCACCAGCTCAGTGAAACTAATCTTTCACTACTGCAGATGAAAAGAATGAACTTTGAATCTACAGCAGAAAGATGCAAGTCCCAGATAATACTTGAGGCGTTGACAGTCTGCATCTCTCACATTTATGCCTCCAAGAGCTCTTTTAACATGGACTGTAGTGAAAGTAAGACGACAAGCAAATGCAAGATCCAAGTGTGGAGGGGACAAGCAGCAGAGGCTGCCCTGCCCCACCTGCCAGCTGCTTGCACCAGACCAAGGATAAACAGCATCACCCAAGAAAGTTCACATGGCAACACCCACATTGTTGATGAACCACAGACCATTAATCACAGAGCCATCTGGAGGTACAAATCCCCTTTAACTCTTTAAACTAACACCAGAGATTCCTTATAAGGAAATACCAAAAATGTCCTCAAATTCATAAAAACATAAATGTAAGGTGCATTAAACCTTATAGAACCTTCTGTGTACATTCAACTTTAGCCTCTACCACCAAACATGAACATAAATTAACTAAAAACTACAGCCCCTTTGAATCTCAGTCAAGGTCACTTCAATTCCAAAGGACTGCTTATACTGCAGTTTTACACAGATTAGCTAATTCACTTGAAAAAACAGCCTTAAGTTGAAAGGTGACAAAGCAGTTGGGCAGCTGATATAGATGGAACACGTAATTATCAAGGCCAGAAAGCCAGCTCAGCCCCCATCAGTCAGCTTCTCCACATGAACATTTCATTTAAGATTTGAGACCTTCTTCATGTCCGTCCCTCTCCAACAGCCCAAGGTACACATCCACTCTCCACCAAATTAGCAACAATTCCTTCACAATTTTCACTTGGCAAGAAGTCAAGCAGGTGCTTTAATCCATCCCTGCTCAGGAAAGCATCAGGGAACACCTAGTAACAAATACAAGCTCCTAGCTAGACACTAATGAGTGAAATTCAATATAGGCTGGGCTTTCTGAATATAAAATAATGACAACCTCGTAACAGTTAGGCATAGGCATATTCTAGGGGAGGCAAAATTGTTCTCAGCTCAACCCCTTTCAGTTTTCTCTGACCTAAGTGGCACCGGCTTATTAGCAGCTGGACAAGGGAGAACTGTCATGGATCATCTAAAAACCTACACACTCCAGTTTTGATATGCACATGATGCCATACTCCAATCACAACTCAGTACTGACACAGCAGGTACACAAAAGCATCCAAAAAGTTTTAAAAGGTGGGAAAGGAAATCTCTCCTCTTGATTTGGATGTTCAAGATGTCTTGGAATATGGGAAAAGGCTAGGGGAAAAAAAAACAACTCTAAAGGAAAGGGGTAAAATAATAACTGGTACTTGTACTGTTGTTCAGGAATAAGTGAACAAGGCAAAAGTGAACACAGGAACTTTAACTTGGACAATTTCAGGTCACACAGCTAAAGAGAATATAAGACACAATTAGGATGTGGGCTGTCTGAAGGTAGCCATCGAGACCGAACTATCTCCCTATTGACACCAGTCTTGCTCTGACATATGTAATTCAAAAATAATTTGAAAAGAGCTCAGGGAACAATCATGAGAATGATTAAAGGATTAGAAAATATGTTTTTAATTCAATTAAATGAAAATTCTCTGCAAGAGATTGCTTACTCCAGCCAGATTCTAATAAGTTGCTTGATTATATTCTGTGTTAACACAGCCGCTGAAGATTTCTTAACACAGTTTTCCAATGTAATTTATTATTATTGTTTCTCATCTAATAGAAAAATATACAACAAGGCAACTGGCTGGAGGTTAAAAACAAATTCAATTGAGTTGCCTCTTTTTTCCTCTCTTCACCCCTGCTCCCCCCTCCATTTTTTGCAATAATCACAGGGCTGACCCTCTGTGAGGTTAGGAGGTGCATCATCCAGTGAATTCTACCACAAGCAGTTCTTAAAAAAGCAAAATTGATTTTTTTTTTCTCCCCAAAAGACACAGTCTAGTTCTAACAGAAATTATTTCAAAAACACTGGTGTGAGTTGCACCAAGGTCAGGGCAGATCAAAACAGGCTTTAAAATGTGTAATCTCTGAAGCTTCTAGGACAAGGTTTAAGTGATTCAGAAAGACCTGCACAGCCATTCAATCCAAAAACTTATAGCAAAACTTGTCCCAATTGTACTTATTTCAAAAACTCCTAAAATATTTAGCAACCTATTATTTGACATATGTGTACTTGCAGCCAGGAGAAAGTCAGTCATATTAGAAACAAAAGATACTTTTACTAGTTCATAACCTCTTTCACCTGGTAATAAAATGCTCCATCAGCTGCATTTCAGGCTATCTAGGTGCAGCATTAGTTAACTCACTTGCTCTTCTATATGCATTTTTAAAGCCTCAGCCCTCTGAAAGAAGAGGGTGTGGTTTGCTATTTCATGTAATAATAACTAAAAAATCCAGATATTAAAAGCATTGCATTCCTGTAGCATTTCAGCAAGTAAACAGACTATCATTTATTTCTAAAACAGGCTTTTCTGAGCATCAGCAAAAATACAATACTCCACAAATCAAACCAGCTCGCCCACAGTTCTGAGGATGACTGGATTACAATCACATCTTCCTGTTTATTAAGTCTGCAAACTAAGCACTACAATTTATCAAACCAGAATATCCCTTCAATAATCCAACAGCATTTTCTCATCTGAGCAGTGCAGAATGACAGCACCACGTACAGAACTGCACATCAAGTCTGCCAGCAGCACGTGTGCAGAACAGAAAGAGAAACAAAGAACAGAAAGGAACCTGGACACAGGAGTACAGAAAAGAACAGAAAACCAAGCTGCTATACATCATTGTTAAAAAACCCTCTTTTTTTTTGCCACCCATTGATTCCTGCTCATAATAATCATTTAAACTGGGTTTGTATTTTTCAGCGTATCTGCAAATGGCAAATTCAGCATGGGTGTAACTCTCAGGACACCAGCTGAGGTGCACTGAAGCGGAATCAGCGCCCCATTCTAACATTAAATAACCATTGATGTTCTCCCATCACAAGACATCCCCAGTGCTCATTTATAAGGACCTTACAGTACTCTCTGTCTAAGACATGCCCTTATAAAAGAGGCCTTTGTCTGCTCGCCACTCTGCTGTCTCGGAGACAGAGAGAAAACAATCTGCTTCACATTTTTCAATTCCTTTACATTATTTAAGAAGAAGAGAAAATTGCTTACAAGTACATATCCTTCTGCAAATAAGCTTCCTCAACATTCCTTCATATTTTCCATAGCGTGCCCAGATGTAAGAGTGCTTCACGGAGCGCCGCGGCTCTCAGTCCAGAACATAATCAATCTTTGCCCCTCGGATTCATTAAGCATGCTGTCTTCACACGTGGATTTAAACAGCCATGGCCTCTGTCCTCTCTCTACGGCTGCGGATCTGCACGATTTTTACCCATTTCAGCCCAGGAAACTTCGGCTCACTTCTAGGGAGGAAATTCCCTACTAGTGAGGGGAACCCAGGACAAATAATCCGGGATGAAGATGAGCTGAGTCTGCCTGGCTCGGCTGGCTTGCACTAGGAACCAGCCTGACTTTATCCCCTGGGAAGCGCTAACAGGAGCATCTCAACAGCTGTCATCATTTGTCCATGACGAATAAATTTAGTCATTATTCATTTTAAAACGTAACCCCTTCAGGTCTGGGCAAGGTGAAAAGTGAGGAGAAGAGGCTGTGCTAACTATACAGGAACCATGGTAAACAAGGGCCAGCGCTTCCCTTGCCTGCACCACCAGCCTGGGACCTTTTAAAGCAGTCTCAAATGTCCTTTCCAAAAAAAAAAAAGATGCTTTCTTGCCTTTTAAAAACTTTAGGCTATTAGATTCAAATATTTTAGTTATTTGTTTGTAAGATTTTGAGAGGACAGCTACTCTGTAGTGATGACAGACTGGGAAGAGAGCTTCCTATCATATCTGTTCCTAACAAAGATGCCCCACTATGGTCTTCAGATTCAACCATGCAAATGACTAAACTTGTCCTGGGCCCACTGTGCCCACTCATCATCTGTTCCATTTCCAAGCATCAGAGCAGCTGAAATAGGCAAAATGGGTACCTCTTGCATGGATCACCTGCATTACTCTCAGAAAAATCCCTCTTTTAGGTGCAGACGAAAGTGGATGACACTAAAGGAACCTGCCTCCCCACAATTCCTATGGCATGCTCCACCAGGAGCTGACAGGTAGCTGCTAAAGCTGACAAACATTACAGCACTTCCAAATTCCATGCTCAACCTCTACTAGGTGGGCAAAGCCCAGCTCCCTGAAGATCTGAGTGCCCTTTCCAAGCCAAAACACACACCTGCAGAACTACTGATGCCAAAGAAAACAGGGTGTGTTCCTCTTTACTCCTTCCTGCCAGGCACAAGTCCATGAGCACTGGACCATATTTTCGAGACAGACACCCCTTTGGTATCTCAGCTCGTGCCCTCCCCTCCAAGGCAGCATCTGGTACCCCCATCTCCAGCTGTGACTTCTGTCTCACCCTCTGCTGGGTGTCCAAGGGAGACAGCTTCAGCTGAGGTTAGATGCCTCTTCCCATTAGGACACATGAAAACTGTACATGGCTTAGCTGCAAGCCTGTCCAACTCCAACACAGGTATTGTAGAGGTCTCTCCAGGAAAATGAGTTTATCAACCCACTAAAGATAAAGGAACATGTATGTGCTCCTCAGCAGAATTAAATGTTTAAAAACAAAGGAGTCACAGCTACAAGCAGAAGTACATAGGCACAGAACATCATTAAGGTTTCCTGCTTGGCTATCTCCCAGTGTCCCAGCTGCTCTCCCCAGCCCCAGACACAGCTCCTCCTTCCCACCCTCCACACCA